GTAAACAGAAATACGAAAATAAGAGAGATCATACGTGTTCAATTTTATCATTATTTTGGTCTTTATAATGATTATTATTAATTGATTATTACTATCTTGTTTATTTTTTATTATCGGTTATTATTTTTTATTATCGGTTATTGTTATTATTATTATTATTATTATTATTATTATTATTATTATTATTATTATTATCATCATCATCATCTTCGTTATCATCATCATAACCATCTTTATACTGTGTAATTTATACAGTATTGATGCTATTATTGTTATTATTAGTTTTATCATTATTAAGTCTGTTAAGCGTAATAATGTCTTAATATTATATTAGACTTACAAGATACCATTATTTATCTATTATTATATATTTATTTATTTGAACCGTATTTAATGGGGTCACACGTTCTGCAATATATAGTTTCATTTACAACGATTTTGTAGCGATGTGTATATATTATAGCTTTTTAATCTTTGAATATTGTTATATAATAATTTCTACTTTTAAACAGTTTCGTATCTTTGTTTGTTGTTGGCTTTGAGGAGAGCCCCTCGATGGCAAATCTTCTTGTACTTGGGAAATCCTGCCAAATGCCGACTGGGCTTCAAATCGAGGTTTTACGTTATGATATGATATATGATATGATACGATCATTTGATATGATATGCCTATGCTATGGGACTTGTTATCCTAAAATGTATGCATTTAATGTCTCGGCTTCTTAGCATCAGTCAACAAGCGTTGTATAAAAGTTGATTACTGTACTACAGCCTTTGCAACAATAATGGTTACAAATCCACAAGGTCAATCAAGAACATTAATGTCAAGTAGGCCTAATAAATATGTAAATACTTGAAACATTGCTGATATAGCGTAATTCGTAGGCCAAATATGGCATCGATAAATATGTGATCTCATAATTTATAGCCAAGAAATGCATCAAATTTTACAATATTGGCATAATTTGCGATCGTTTGCTGTGTTTCTTAAGTCGTGTCGATGTGTGTAGCGGAGGCCTGACCAAGGAGTTGATGAAACCGCCAAGAGAGCAGGCAACACATCGATATTAATTTATAATCGCAATCATTCGTTGGAATATTATAGGCCTTGGAGTTTTTCAATATCAAACTGACAAATTAGCATTGTTTACAATGTGAACTTGCTATATAATTACTCCGTTTTGGAAAACATGTCTGTCTGTGAATAATCATAAGCTAGAGAACGAAAATACAATTAGGCCTACTTATGTAGGAGGAGATATGCAAAATGTAGAGCCTCGGTTGTAGGATACCGCTGCCAAATAATACTGATTATCATCAGACATACTTATTGGTAATAGGCCCTACCGCCTATGCTTTAATATTGAGTAACCCATGTAAAGTTACTGGTTACAGTTTACATAGACCATATAATACAAATACGTATACATATTACATAGGCATTGGGCCCACAATTTGTTGTTATGGTATAGGATGGTGTATAACGGATGCTTTCGATGACTGTAGAAGTGGCTATAATGCTTTCTATCTGTGTCAAATCATCCGGTATTCAAGTTATATAATTATAAATATATTGTATTTACCACAGGCCACCTATTTCTAAACCTAACGAACATAATCACACTTTAAAATCTATGTCAGGCTCATCATGAGTATAATATACACAAAACGATGACGTCAATAACATTGAGCCTAACCTCTCTGAGATAAACGGTGAGGAATGTGTAAAATATATATAAAAATATTTACCTATACAGTACATGATTGCGAATACACGGTACGGTATTGATTCACGAAATTAACGAAGAAATAAACGAACGGCGCATGTAAGGCCACTGGAGTAGGCTATCATGTTTTTATCCACCTATGTAACATTGTCCTATGATCGAAAGAGATCGAAAAAAGGGGAAAATTAAACATACCTTGTTTATTAAGCAACCAATATGTAGACAAAATGTTGTGGCGGTTGTGATTCTATCAAAACGACTGGATGGGTTAGGCTTGTCTCGATCTGATGATCAGTATATCCGGAAAGGTGTGTTTTCCGATGCTTCAGATAAAAAACTAAAATAAAAATTAAACCCTTTTAGTGACACTCCTTAAAATGCTACTATTTCATTACAAAACGGGATAAATAATGCTTTACACTCACCAAATATTGAAGTAAAACGAAGATTGAAGTATGGCCCACGGCTGCATCAATGCCTGTAAAATCGCAAAGCACTGTACCACTCTGTAGCAAATGTTAGAATGAAAATTTTAGTATTTTCGAAGGTTTGAATATATCAGTTGCTTTAGTGTCTTCCTGGGCCTCATTTGTGGCTGAATATGGCCGGTGTGAACGCAACTAAGATGACGTTGCAACTGTGCGACATCATGATCTCGAATTGGATGTTCACTTTCCAAGTCCGTGTAGTTTGTATACATTCGTCGTATTCTTACGGTAATATATTTTAATGGTGATTGGCTTCATATCCCAAGAGAGATCGTCTTATGTTCAATTTAACCAGCAAGATGTCATTAGTGCTAGAACAATAAGATGATTGGACGAGTGTTTTCCTCACTGCGCATGTCAATAACTTGAACCATCTGTGAACATTGGATTTTTGCATTGTTCCACTTGAACGGACGATGAGGAATCACATCGGAAACAAAGACAACTTAACGTTACTTTAAAGATCAGATTAACATAGTAAAAAAGTAATTACTACGTATGTTACGGGATTATGAATATCTGCAAGGGTTAAATAGTTAAACGATTTGTCACTGTGTTCTGAATGCTATTCAGCAGAAGGATGCTCTCTCCGGCCACAATGTGATCATAAATTGATCATTTTTCGATAATGTTCAAATTAAGCGTTTTATTTCTAAACTAGTAAATAGAATTCCAAATACTCTACAATTGATGCATTATCATTTGTGATGCTTTAAAATGACTCACTGAATAACTGGACCTTTTCTGTCACACATCGTATGGGATTTTTCCTCCCTTGTTTTTGTAGTGAAAAATTATTCATTTAGGATTCATAAAATAGATACTGTACATTCTACACTTTGTAGAAAAAATTTTCGCAAACAGTTTTACTATTTTTTATTTATCATCATTCATTCCAGGTAGGCCCCCTTTATATATTTTGATGTTTTTTTATTCATTTTATTATTTTTTATACTAGTAAATTGCTAGAAATATTGTTCTGTCTGTTCTTATACGATATCCCATAATCTATACAACTTTAATGATTAAAATACATTCGGACAACTGTCTGGGCAAACGAAATCAAAGAACAGAAGATTACTGAAGATCTGAAAGGAATAAAAGATGAAAGATTGGGGATCGTCGTGTTCGAACACCATACGCAACTAATTTAGCATCTCTTTGTTTTCTTTTTTTTTTATTGCGTGAAACATGATGTTTCCTTTAAATTGTAACAAGTTTGTCTTGGCCTTTGTCTCGTATCATATCTATTACATACATCTGCCCAGGTATTTTCAAGAGGCTCGGTCATTTCTTAGATTGTTTGTAATCAGGCAAAGTGCGAGATTGTGATTGGCAATCTGTCGGGGTATTTTCGGTTGGTAATTCGATCGATGCCAATCAGGACTAACCTTGTCGTGTTTACCGTTTTACAACCCACAGTTGGCAACAGATTACTTCCAACTTTTTTTTTGCTATTTTAGGTGCAACCATTAATAGGGAGCTTTCTATTTGTGCGACGACGCGACGCTAGAACGGAATCACTCATGCGTGACCGTCCTACCTGGGTCCATACGTTCTCTGCATACGTAGATTTGGCCAAATTGCGTTTCAGAATCTAATCGATGAGGTGACCTTAACGTTCTCGCATGCGCAGATGACTTGTGATGTCATTACGTTCTTCGTCCTACCGTCGTTGTGCAATCGAAATCTCCCTACTGATACAATTAGACGGCATCCTGATGTAATACTGTAATATAAGACCCGATACACATCAGTTCTCGACCTCTTGTCAAAGTACGCGCACGCATTCATCCTTCTAAGGATGTTGACATTTAAACATGCTGACAGTACATGCTGTGACTGTAATGCAATGTATCTTATTTTCATAATACGGTACAAGCGCGTTTACTTACTGAACGTGGGCCCATAATGTTGATGCGGGAATGACGCAAACTTGAGAATGCAACACATTATAATCTGCCCACACTAAACAAATAGCCCATATTTACGAACATAATTATATTATATTACATTCATATATGGGTTATCACAAATGTCACAAAACTGTCTACACAAACAACTTCAATATGCCTACTGAAAAATTATTAGATTTGTTAAGTGGAGTGGGCCGGTTTTTGCTTGGGTGTTTAAAGCAAATCCAGCAAATACTAGCATTTGCATCATATTTTTTTTTTAAAACCTGTTTCATGTCAGAAAACAAACTCTACTGGAAAGCGTCTCTAGGCCTAATGAGTTTGTGTAAAGCATAGAACGTAGGAGGCAATTTTATTCTGAAATAATCGGGATCATCATCCTCATAAGCCCCTTTCCGCCCGCGCGCGCAAAAAAAGGGTTCGCGTTGCTCAAACTCTAGAAAATATTGCCAAGGTGTTTAATTAATGTAGGCCTATGTAGCTTTTAAAAAATCTTAAATCGAAAGACACAGCAAAATACAGTAATGTTCGGGATGATTCAGTTCGATAAACTTAATGATATTAAAACTATCACGAGTTGAACGATGCGCCCCAGGAGATCGATCGCGTTGCTTGTGTCACCATAGCAACATAAACTTGGAAATTGATATTATCAGTGCATGGTCGGCGGTAGTCTGACGATGATGGATTGACAGATTTAGTTGCTGGCTCATATTTCCAAGCGGTTTGTAGCACAAACTGAAATTAATTTTGTTACTAATAATAAGACTAACGATTCGTAGAGTCTCGCTTAAATGAAGCATATACGGTAGCGCGGCCGAGCGTTTTAAGGCGCTTGTTTAAGGCACCGGTCATTTCAATGACGTGGGTTCGAATCTCACCGCTGCCAGTCTTTATTTTTGCAATCTTTACAATGACAGTAAACTTAAATGTATAACTTAATAATAAAACCAATGTTGCATGCTAATTAAATCTGACGTAATAAATACATAAATTTTACATAGATAAAATGTAGTGTTTCTAGTCAAATTTAAATAAATACAATAGGAATTATAAAATTAAGTCTAATTAGGTTGAAGTACTGTTAAAATAGTATTAAATAGCAGCAGTTATATCTAGTTAAATAGTAGCAGTTATATAAGTAATACTATTAGACAAATAATAGCAGCAGCAATAATATATGTAGAGGTAGTAGTTAAATATCAGCAATTAAATAAGTACTGGGTTATATAGTATACATTATTTGGTAGCATACAGTAAATAGCACCAGCTATATAATTACTAGTCCGCTAGTAGCAGTATATGTAAATACTAGCTAAACAGTAGCATTTATTTAATGTATTTAGTATTTATTCAAATTTTACAATCATCAGTAAATAGCAAGACCTCTTTATTCAACATTTTAATATTCTATAAATTACTGCCCTTAGGTCTTATGTTAATGCTATAATTGTAATCTTGTTCTTGTTCTGAATCTGATAGAATAGGACATTAAAAATTAATTTGTACAAGTACTAGTTAAAATAGTATCAGTTAAATAATGTCCATGTCAAGTAGTAACGGTCTAAACATTATGATGGGTGTTTTAAATGTACTGTTGTAAAATCTAGGAAAACTTTAATTTTGATAAAACACTGATTAATAATTCAATACTATAGTGGACCTGGACTGACACAAGCCTGGGAGGATGATCCAATCAATTTTTATTCCGTCCAGGCAGCTTCTGGCTGGGTGTGTGTTACATTAACAGTCTGAAAGAATGATTTGCTTGTCATCCTCCCAGGTAGCTTTCTGGGGCGGCGCTAGCAGGGGGCCCAGTGGACCTCTAGACCACCCCCACGGACCTCTGGACCCCGCTTGACCCCTGCAAGGGAAATGTTAGCAAAGGTCGTCAGGGAAAAATCAAATCCTGAGCGCCGAAAGTACAATTCAAACATGACTAAAAGGGACTAGATGTATGACTAGTAGCTCCTGAATACAAAACATTTAATACAATCTTTCCAGGCAGTTCCTGTTTATGATAGATATACTGAGCAGCACTAAACCCAAAAGCTGCCTGAAGGGATGACATGATCATCCTCCCAAGTGGGTAGTAATAATGAGAAGCAAGGTGTCAATCCAGTTCACTGGTAAAACGTGATCAAATATGACATAATTGCATGTGCATACATAAAGCGAAAACAGCCTGGAAGACTATAAATATAAATCTCCGAGTCTCGACATTACTTTTCCATTAGAAGACACCCAAAACTAAGCAAATTTAAAAAAGTGTAATTCCTGATTTTAATGTAGAATACTTTACTGATATGGAAGTACCTCCAACATTATGTTGACCACAGGCCTCGAGCAGCTGTGGCACCAGAAATTTGCTGACAAGGGGTCCGAGCCATGGGGCCAACAAGGCCTCGGTCGGCGGGTCAGAATAAAAATTCCCTTTTTGGGTTCACCAGGTGAGTTTCTATGGCTTAGTATGGTCTTAAAAGGTGCTTTTAAACCACAATATTAGGAATTAATAACATTAATTGGAGAGGCAAATTATTATTTTTTATATTTTTGATCCGACGGCCTAGTCATGCGTCAGACGATAGGGATCTAGGCCTGTCCTACGGAGGGGAAATGTCCCCTTCTCTCGCTGGTGCCACCACTGCCTCGCTGGAATGCTACTGATAGGTCAAATGCGTAAAAGTTACAGTAATAGTAACAAAATATTCAAGTACTATATTCTAGATTCTATAAGTAAATACACATTTACAGACTGAAATTCTACAATTTAAACTCACGATAATTTATAAATCCTATTTTAATGTAATTTACAATTATGGAATTAATAAAGATTTCTTGTAACGTACAAAAATATATAAACTGATATACACAGTGCATTGCAGATGATATAAATATCATTTAAATACATTTCTCAGTGCAAAATTATGCAATTTAAGAAAATAATATAACTCTACCTATCAGAACTCTTTCACCAAAAGTAACAGAATGTGCTATCTAAGAACGTTATAATGGAACCCCAAAATATTGCAAATTTGTTTAAAACGACACATGTTATCCAGGAATGAATTAAGGAATGGAACTAAACATGTACTAGGGATTACCTCTGGTTTTTTTACACATTTATTTGTTCTTTGGTGAAAGAGTCCGCGTGATGTCATTGTGTTTTCTTGGTCGAGTAGTTCTCAATATCTTCAATAGTGTCTGGTAATGCCTGATTCAATGTTTCCGGGAGCAGAAGAGAAGATATCCCAGCGGTTAAGGAAAGTAATCCAAACACTTGGAACATCACGTATTTACCCTTTAATAACAAGCATTCATAATACAAAATAATTTATTATTTTAATAGTTGATGCATACAGGATATGGGTAATTTCAAAGATTTATGAATATGTGATGATGATGATGATGATGATGATGATGATGATGATGATGATGATGATGATGAAAGTAATTTGAGCACTTGGAACATTGTGTTTTTTTTACCCTTTAATTATAATCATTTATAATATAAAATAATTTATTATTTAAATAGTGGATGCATACTTTGGGATATTCATGATTATATTATGATGATGATGATGATGGAGATAATATTAATAATAATAATAATAATAATAATAATAATAATAATAATAATAACAACAATAATAATAGCAACAACAGGAACAATAAAAACAACAATAATATCATCTTATAAGACACAGTATCAATCTCAGAGAGCCTTTTGAGTTGTATATTATATAACTTTAAAACAAACTGAAACCAACTGGGAAAAAACCCCCCCAAAAATGCAAAACTCTCAGGGGTGTTCCGTTCATCATTACTCTATTGCATTCCAAATCTCTTTATGATGCTTGATGGAGAATGGAGTTTTTTTTTTTGGTAGAAGAATCCTAAAAACGTTGCTTAGGTTGAAGCCAGAATCCTGTCTAATAATTATAAATCTATCTTTGGTAATGGTAGTACGTGCGTTGTATTGTATGCATATCATGTTAATTAACATCTCGACAAGATTTGATTGACAGATAAACCGACTAATAAGCAAGCATCATTTAGTCACGTGATCAAAAACTTTTTCTTGGACATTTAATTTCCTTAGACAGCTGGGAGCGAAAAACAGAGGCTTTTACCACAAATTCCCCACCATGTTCCATGAAATAGATTAACACTATGAATATAAACTTCAACCTTCTTTCTTAAAGAAGGTTGATAGCAAAGAAAATGTTCGCCAACTCGGTAAGTCTAGCCGCCATTGTCTAAGGTTTTCATGACTTTGTGGGCGGAGCTTCGCGTCCTCGTCGACATGTCAATTGTATATATCATATATATACAATAATTTTTTTAATATTGATTTTTTTTCTTTTAGTTATGAAGTAATCACAAGTAAACGTCAACCTGACATCAACACAGTGGATTCTGTCTCTTCCCTACAACATTAGATGCGAATATTTCGATATTTATCTTTTTTGTTAATGAGATGTGTGTGGTCACTGACTTCTGAAACGTAACCTAAACTTATACTTTCATTCTGGCATTCTCCGAGGAAAGTACACATCATTACGGTCAAAACAGCAATAAATTAAAACGACAATTAACCAAATTAGCAAAATCATCCTTTAAAACGGCAACTGAGTCAACGCCTACCAAAACAAAAGCATGCTATTCAATTCATGTTTGTTTCATATGAGAAATTTTAGTCAGCAAAAGAGATAATAATGCTAATTTTGATAGGCCTAGGGCCAAAGAATTTAATGAGAATTAGTTGGTTCATAAAACTCTAGACCAAGGTCAAGGATCACACCTTCTAGATAAAAAAAAAAATATACAATAAAATAATTACAATAATATAAATGATCTATTATTCAAGATTTTAATATTGAAAAATATCAAAATATGTGAACATTTGGTCATATTGGTCACTTTGCACTAAAACAAAGATAAGTAATTATATTAACATTAAATTATTTAAGGCTAACAGTTTGGAGCCTAGTAGTGATTTTAGAAGGATACATCAAAATATTGTACTTACGTATGGTGCCACGGAAGGGGCAAGAGCGCCCCCTATCCTGGCTGACATGGTACACAGAGCAAGTGCACTACTCCTGAAAGGAGAAACAGTGATTATTGTTGGTGCATAATAACACTCATATTGATAACGAAGATTATGATGATGATGATGATGATGATGATGATGATGAAGATGATGGATATGAGGAAAATGATGATGATGATGATAATGATGATTCTGAATATGGTAATGATGATGATGATGATACTGCTGCTGCGGATGATGATGAAAATGATGGTAGTGAATATGATGATGATGAAAATTATGGTAGTGAATATGATAATGATGAAAATTATGATGATGATGAAGACTATGTCAAATTACCTTGCTGATGTTGGTGCCAACTCGCTTGAATAAATGTAAACAACATTAAAAGACGCTGACACACCAATTTTACCTATGAGAGCTAAGGCAGTCTGTAGCATTTCAGCATTGCTACCTACAAGTAACACACAATCAATAGAGTTTAATATTTAGAAAATATAATATAATATATATATATATATATATATTTACATATACACATATAAATATACATATATACATATATGCATATACACATATACATACATATAATAATTTTATCAATAACAACAATAATAAAAGAATATTAATATAATATTACATAATGCAATCTTCAGTTCTGACTGCCCATGGATCTCGGCCATTCTTTTATTTGTTCAACTATGTTCACCCCATGCCTTAGTTTACGACTGGGACTCTCGATTTTTATCATTCAATTCATTGAAGTGTATTCTATTATTATTTAGAATATTATTTATAAATACATTGTACTCCATTTTCGTTTCTTGCATACAATAATCATCAAATCAATACTACTAAACTAAAGGCCATTAAAAATATTTAATATGCATGTGAATAGAACTGAATGAACAGTTATTTTTTTACAAGGTATTGTTATGTAAATCATTAGAATAATTTATATGAACCACAAAGGAAAATACCGCAAATTATTACAATTAAAATAGAAGAAAATTAGAGGGAGGCATGCCAGATGTACAGTGAATACTGGTGAATATTGACATTGAAAAACGGCAAAATACTTATGAGGAAAGATTGTATCACTTCCTTCAGTGAAAATGTAATGCTATCAAATAATTAAAAATATTATTCTGTAAGTATTTAGGTCAACATCATAAATTAAATTACTTTTTGTTTAAAGAGCAATGAGCTAAGATAACTAAATGGCAGTTTTAATGTATCCCTTGGTATCAATCTGCAATTTCTATTCAATTCACACAATAAAATATGGAAGTTGTAGAAGCTGAATTTAAATGAAATAGCTGGAATTTGTATTAAAATATAATTAACATTAATATAGTTATTGCATAAAGGCAATAATTTCAAGCATTATTTGCTTCAATAATTAAACTCCAGATGTTTGACATTTGACCTCAGTCCATATGTACAGTATGTAGGGGAGAGCGGCCTGAATGGATTATGTTTGGGGAGGGTGTTAGCTTGATAATTTTAGAAATACTGTTATATAATACTCGCTCACCTGCATTATCTGGAATGAAAAGAAGCAGCATACAAGCTAATCCACCTAATATTGTGCATCCGCTTAACATTATACGACGACCAATTCTGAAAATTTTACCAAGAAAAAGTCATAACACAGAATATATATGTATATTTATACTATTAATTTTTGGGATTGAAAATCATTCAGCACAAAGGTATGCACTCTGTGCTAATTTTGGAAGGCAAATGTCTTGTATTCTGAAAATGGTTCCCCATACCATTGCAATAAAAAAGTGATACTAAGAATCTACTGTCTACAGATACTTAAAGTAAGTATCTCTAATGTTAATTGTGACCCAAGCTCACAAACAGGCTGTAAACTCGTCCTCAAGCCAAAAAGATTTTGTTATAATGGCATAGAACATATAATTTACTTTAAAATGACAGTTAAATGAACTCAATCGGGTGTCTGGAAGCAAAGTTATGACTGTTTGAATGATTGTCATCTTCTCAACTTTCTTAAATCAAGTTTTGAGAAAAATGCTTTTATTTTTTGCAATTTCCTATTCATTTTCACTAACTCCCATTTGAAAATGGCAAAATTTTGCCTTTTACAGTTTTAATTTTAAACTCAAACTTCAGGAATAGTAAGGTTAATAATTATACTTTATTTATTACACAAAAACCCAATTCAGACGAAATTCATATTTTATGGCATGTTCTGGCTATTGAGGCTTGTTTCTCAATACAGTGCTGTGCGAGTTTACAGCCTGTTTGTAAGCTTGGGTCACAATTATCTCTAATGTATATCACGCTGATGAAGTCCAAGAGTCGACAAAATATTTGTGTTAAATAAATTATGTTCTAAAAATATGGCAACTTGACTTTTGTTTTATTGTCATCGCCTTCACATTATATATATTATATATTATATATATATATATTAGGAATAATGTTTTTAAGCTTTAATTTAAAAGGAAAAAACTATATAATAATAATGATAATAATTACAATATTATTGATTAATAAATGATTAAAATTCAGAATAACATTATAAAGTTGTGATATACAACTTACACATCAAGAAGGAGAATACAAGCCACATATGCAGGAAGCTCAGCGAGGCCTGACAGTGCTACACTGACATAGGCATTACTACCAATGTCACCAGCTCCCATAGTCAAGCCTAGGTACACCATGCTACACCCAAACCTTCAAAATATCAAAAGAAATACATTACCCAATAATTTAATAAAATAACTTTTGATTAATTTAGTACAGAAATTGAACTCTCACTAGAATGCCTATAGCATTTGTGAAAAAATCAGTAAAGGTAAAAATGTGGTATTTCTCAAATAAGGCAACAACAATAACAAGTTCTCGTAATCTCAAAAGCTCCGATGAGGGTAGTATAATTGAGGCAGTAGAGCTAAAAAAAATCTATCAATCAACTATTAATCAATCAGTCAAGTGTTTTTAGAGCTCCTCATGAGGGCAGTATTATAGAGGCAGTAGATCTAAAAAAGATCTATCAATCAATCAACTATTAATCAATCAGCCGAGTGATTTTAGACCTCCTCATGAGGGCAGTATAATGGATGCAGTAGAGCTAAAAAAGATTATTAATCAACTATTAATCAATCAGCCTAATGAGGGCAGTATAATAGAGGCAGTAGAGCTAAAGAAAATCTAATAATCAATCAGCCGAGTGTTTCTAGAGCTCCACATGAGGGCAGTATAATAGAGGCAGTAGAGCAAATTAAGATCTATTAATCTATCAACTATTAATCAATCAGCCTCATGAGGGCAGTATAATAGAGGCAGTAGAGCCAGAAACGATCTATTAATCAATCCTAGAGCTCCTCATCGGAGCTAAAAAGATATCCTAATAAAGACAAATGACTGTGCAATACAATGACATCTGTCTACAGTATGTACAAGAAACTCACCAGGTAAAAATCTGCACCAGCATCCTCTGCCGTATATTGGGCGTCCTAAAAAAATCCAAGTAGCTGACGGACTTAGCTTTATCTTGGTGTTCTTTCTTCTTTTCCTTGGGTGGCCTTGCGAGTGCAATCTCCTTCCTAAGAACTTCTTTCTTGTTCCGTAAAGCCATCTTGAAAAGCAGCGCTTCTGCTTGGTTTAACTTGCCCTTGGAAGCCAACCACCGTGGCGACTCGGGTAGAACCCTAAAAGAGTAAACAGTAATAACGAAACAACAAGAAAAATGCGGAACTAAATCCTAGAATGCCAAAGTAAATCCCTATTTATTCCAATAAAAACCTAGAGGTCAATTTTAGTATTTTAAATCACTTAGTGGAACTAACTTGCTGTCATGGGGGGGGGGGGAGTTGTTTGCAACTCAGCCTATGCAACCATAATTATTATTCAATAAAATAAAATTTATAATAATAACAAAAACAGTAACACCAAAAATAATAATACAGTAAAAATAATAATAATAACAGTACTATTAATAATAACATTAATAATAAGGATAATATTAACATTAATATTAACACATTGATGTCACTCTGTTGTAAGATCCAAAAAGTAATATTTAAAGAAGTAAAGGATCTAAATGTCCTTCTTGGGATTTAGAGGGTTATCCCTGATATTACATGATTTTGTTCTTTTTTATTCATTTGTTATGTATGGTATCGCAATTAATCAAATCAGACTTGTTAAAAAAAGATTTGTTAGTGAGTGAAGATGTTCCATGATGTACATATTTCCGGGAGCATAAAACATACCAAAATACCGGGAGATAGAAGAGGAAGGGGATTCCAGTGATGAAGGTCAGATTCCGCCAATCACGTACGTAATACGCAACACCTGCACAACCCTAACAAGAAACAAAAATTTGTTTGTTTATCCATTTGTATTTAATATTAATGAAAATAATTCAGTATATTTTAATCAGAGATGATATTTTCCGTCAAATTCCCAATTGATTAACAGTGCATTTAAAAACTAGAGCAGTCACTCCATAGAGTGTATACCTACATCCTGTGCCTGAATACCAACAATAAGCAGGCCGTGTTTTATGGGTGAAACTGCAGCATACCCTTAAAGAAAATAATGGAATCGCCCATCGTATTCAGCTACCTGATGATGACATAATTAATGTTGAAATATTGAATCCCGACACGATGTAGTGCATTTCGATACTTGGAGTATGTATTATACTATCTTATCTAAGATTAATCAGCGGACCTTTCGGTATTCAGGTACATTATTTTCTTGAGTGCTGCCTAAATACAAGGGGCAATTGCATTATTTTCTCTCTTTCAGCTTGCCTTCATTTAAATCCTTAAGCCTCAGGCCCATAGAAAATAATATTACCATATAAAACCTTCTCTTTTTTAAATGCAACATATGAAAGTTTAGCCAGTTTGACTTAAGCATGTTCATTTGTTAACAAATCATAAAACTTATATAATGTGGGATTTCTCCAATAATATTTATTCAACAAAGATTCCCTATGTGTCTTGTAAGCAGGGCAGACAAGACAAAAGTGGAACTTATCTTCTGGTTCTTGCTGATCACACACGACATAGTCAATATCCTCATTGGCGGAGGTACATATATATTCAAAAAGACAATTAGTGGGCACACTTACTGAAATTCCTAGTGCAAATACTACTTGTACTAGAGTCCCTGCAAACACTCTGTATGAGGCACCAATGTTTTCTGTTGAATACACAAAAATAACCAATCCTGTTCCACCTACTGCAGCACCATTAATAAACCTAAAGCAAAAGAAGACCAGTTATGATTGGTGGATAAATTAATGGGGCTTGACTAAAATTATAAACTATGAAATCATGTAAAATATCAAGCAATTTTACATGAAATATCTTTTTTTTTAAATAATAAAAATAATTATGCACCAAATGTAGTTTTAAAACTTACTGTATTAACAAATAATACAGCATTTAAAATCTTTGAATGAGCAAATCTCTATATAAATTTAAAGTACTGTATTCAAGTTAGATTTTTGTTTTTCTAGTAAATACACAGCATTTGCTAGCACCTAAACAAGGAAAAGGAGTAATTGGATTATGAATATTAAAACTAATCTGGTGCCACCAATCTCTGTTACTTCATTACCAATCTGGAATAACAACCAATTATTCAAATTAGATATAGATTTCCTAATCAATAATTAAATTAACATATTTTTATAAACAATTATAATTTCATGATTATCGATACTCACTTGAGAAATGCAAACTGTAGATAAGATTGGGTGAAACCACTTAGGATGGAGGTAAGAACTAAGAGGATAACACCAGCCATCAGCGTTTTCTTCCTTCCAATAGCATCTGATTTTGGGCCCCATATTAGACCACCAAATAACACCCCTATCATATAAATGGACTGAACCAAACTGGTTTTGTAGCTTTCACCACATATAAGTTTAAACTAGAAAAGTGAGAAAACATAAAATAAAAAATGTAATATCCTTTATTTTTATTCTTTAATAAATAAAGAATTTATTTTAAAAATCGAAACGAAGGATCATGCCAGTGTGGGGGGGTGGGAGAGCCTTATGGTAAAATTTAGGCACATCCTATGCTATAATGTCCTGCGACCAAAAAATTGAAGTTGAAAATGAAAGTGTAATTAGGTTACCAACATTGCCAAAATTTCAATATGCTGTTAATTTTTTACTGTTTAATATTGGTAGGTGTGTACAGCACTAATTTTTCCTATATAAAGTTATCCATGACACGTGCTACTCACCTGGGTTAGTAAAAAAACATAATTGTGATCTGTAATAGCTGATGATGACCTATAAGGCAATATCACACATTGAGCTTTGTTCAATATGGCATTGTTCTTTTTAAGTGCAGGTGATTTGGCATTTAGTTTTTAATATATAAAGCAATAAAACTGGAATTATAATATCAGTACTATTACGACACAAACAGTATAATTAATAGTTTTTTTTTTAAGTAGATATCCAGACAATTATTCATTAAATAACGGTCTTGCCACACTTAATTGGTTCTTTGATGCCACTATTTTTAATAATATTTATATACCATATACCAGATGATGATTTATTGAATTACCTGTATAATATATAAATTATTCTGAGGCAGATGTATGATACTGTATTGCTGTTTTATTTATTATTTCGCCATGAAATTCATAAGATATACAGCAAATTAATTGGCTTTATAGGATCAGTATTGGTACAACACCAAAATAATATACAGTAGTTTATAGTAAGTTACATCTGTTGTATTTGAAATTTTTTAAAAATCATCCATTAAAAAATGGGGAATCCACATTATACTGATTAGTTGTACAAGGTGCAATCCATGCGCTGCAGATAATATCTTTTTAATGTTCTGACCCTAACCCATTAGAGAAGATATTAGACCTCAGCTACATACCCGCAGTAACTGAATCAACCCTAATCCTCACACTCGTATACCGTAAAATCTCGAATTTAATGCCCTGGGAATTTCTATTTTTTGCGAGCTTTGGATGGGCTTCTTTTCGAGATGGTCTTCTTTTCAAGGCTACTTTTGCGAAGTAAAGAAGGGGCTTCATTTCAAAATGAATGCGAAAATTGAGAATGCCTAAAAAAATCCCTGTTCCAATGAAAATTTCATGGTCATTTTTAGTATTTTAACTCACTTAGTGGAACTAATCTGGCATCATGACAGGTGCGTCCACACTCCCCCCACCCAATGCCCATACACTGTGTGACACTTTCAAACCATTCAGATCAGTTTATACCTCAGACACTATGGATGTAAATTCATCTCCAAACTGAATATCTTCACACAGGCCTTCCAGGTGGCAAACCTCATCACCGTGGGCCTTGTACGGTTTGGTGCAGTAGAATGACGGTTCCTTGGCTATGAAAGCTAGGTTAACTTGCTGGAACGCTAGCAGGAAATTCATGGATGTAACCAGAATAAAAGTGACGATTTGAGCGAGTCCAAGCTCTCCAACTTTGGACAGTGCTGTGTCGAAATCCATTTGGTATTGGTTTTAAATTCTGGAATTACCAAAAAAAAAAATTGCTTATTTGGTTATCAATAAAAGAAAATTAATTCCAGTTTTACTACTCCTACGATGATACAGGTACTCTGCATAGTCCAAAGGTTTGGATGTTCCGCAGAGGTCTTATGTAGAGTTACACCTGCCAACTCTCACGCATAATGCGGGAGTCCACGCTTGAGCATGCACGTTTTACATCTCGCACTTATGTTGTACTATCACACTCATCATAAAAATGGTATTAAAGATGAAATGTATAGGTGGACTATACCCTAAAATTCATAAAAATATAGTGAATTTTTCATTAATATATGAATACAGTATCAAGCCATATAAATTTCTTTTACACATGCTCACGCATGATCATCCGCTGACTACGCTTTTTACATCTCGCACCTACGTTGTATTATCACACGCATCATAAAAATGTTAAAGATAAAATGTATACGATTGTACCCTAAAATTCATTAAAAAATAGTGAATTCATAATTAAAATGTGAACAGTAACAGGAGATTTCCTTTTAAAGAAGCTTTACCGGTCCAAGACTTTAATCCACAGCAATTCGACTGTATTGTATTTGTTTAATGGTATGCGAAGAATGATCAATTTTAGACACCCACAGCAATAAGATGTAGCTCTATTTTGCAAAGTAGCAAGAGACTGAAGCTCTCTCATCATTTGGGTGACACTGTCGTTGCAATCACAACAGTGGAGAACAAATCTTGCAGCACGACATTAGACAGCAGCTTCAATTTTGTATTTCTGTGTTTTGCCATGTGGTTCTTCCAGACTGTTATTGAACAGTTTATTAAGACAATGGCTTGGCTGTGTATATGTCAATCATGGTCAATGACAGCCAAGTGTCTTCAACATCATGACAGCTAGTAAGTTATTAGGTATAAATAATTGAAAATATAAAAATCAATTTATCAAATTCTGCAAGCAACATTAAAGAAAAATTATTCCAGATTCTATGGGGTTTGCCAAAATGAACAAAAAAGATAAATCTTGACATGATCATCAAATGATGAATAAAAAGGTGATACAAAGTTTTTGTATTATTTTATTAACATTATTTTATACTTCAACATTGATCAGGCTTAGGCTTTAGTATGGAAGGTATAATCTTATCTAAGCCCTAGCTGTGTAGACTATGCAACGGTTTGTCTTCTGATTCATCTCAGTCAACAGAGAAGGAAGGAGGACTACAGAGGAAGCAGCGCCAGACAGGGCATGACATTGGCCTAGCCTGCATACTGCTGACCGGGGCATTCACTCCAACCAACTTGCTCACTCTAAAAGTACTAGAAACTTGATCTTAAATGTAGGCCTAAATAAAGTTACAATAAAATTCGATTGTTTAGTTGAATTTGACAAACATTCTGTCAATAGAAATAGGCCTGTTGTTAACAGTTCAAGAAAGAAACATTACCTTAACCTATAGTCCAGAGTATGTTACGTTTTCCCTTGGCACAGTATGTTGTCCTGGCGGCGGTGGTGGTGGTATAGTAGGCAACATAGGACTAGGGAACAGTGAACCCAAACAACATGCTTCAAAACTATACGACTTGTAGTAGATCTGAAAGAATACGTGGCCGGCATAATCCATTATATAATGGGTGAATTATAATAAACCATGATAATATTATTAGATATACAGCATAATATAACATTAACTATACATTTTAAACAAAACAAACTATATATTGATACAATTAAAAACAATACGAAATGCTTTTATAATAATTATTCATCTGGTATATTGAGTTTTAACATCATCATTTCTTAGAATGAAACGACGAGTCCGGTAAGACAGAACGGATGTCCCGAAGAACGCCTCTGGAGAAAACAAAACATACTGTTTACACTGGGGTGCTTTAAAAAAACAAAAAAATTGTGAACTGAATGAAGCAAGTTGATTGTTGCTTACATTTCTGCAAAACCTGTGGAATTTCAACAGTGTAATTTTCATGATTGTATATTCACAGAAAATTAGCACCAATAGATTAGCCTAGGTATAGATAGTATGATAGGGTAAGCCAGCGGTAGCTAGCTAGGCCCCTAGGCTTATTTAGGCCTAGGCCTACTACTACTACTACTACTACTAGGTAGTAGTAGCTGTAGGCCTAGGCAGTACTTGATGGACAGCTATCTTGGCGAGCTGCGCAGTGGTGTTACACAGGGAGTAGAGTTTACCAACCTGTTCTAGCCTAGGCCTAGTAGTGGAGTAGTAATTACTAATAGTAGTAGGGATATGTTATAGTTACACTGCAGTAGTTACTGATTAGGCAAGACTTTTTCACTAAACAAGGTGTAAACTACAAAAAGTCTGGATATTTAAATAAGTTATCTATAATCTTTGTTTTTATCTGACAGTGCTTCATCTGTGCAATAATGTAGTATTATAGTATGGACCTGGTGCATTATGAAGTTTTATGATTATGTAATTGGTTAAGATTTACTGCCAGCTAGAAGTCATGGATTTTGATTCTGCTCTTAAAGTTGTCGGAGATTATGGATCAGAGCAACGAAAATATCTCTACCTCTTTTCATTTGTCAACCTGTTTATTCCGATGCACATTATTGGATTGATATTCCTGGGACGAGAACCATCATTTACTTGTCACAGGAGAACCGAAGGACCGGCATGTTCTCTCCAAGTATGCCCTAGATACGTTTATGGTGATGAATTTACTTCTATTGTGTCAGAGGTGAGTTAATCTTTGTTGGCCGTCAGGATGTGTCCATAAATTCAGAATTTAGTTTCATATTTTTACCATATGTGTTTGATCCAAGGAAGCACTATAGAATTGTAGCATATATAATATTAATTACATATTCTTTTATTTATTGTTTGTATATTGTATGTGTCGATTAGCCCTTTTGATTATAATCTTTTATATTTTTTAATATCAACAATTCATAATTTATTAAAAATTTAGTTTAATAATATATTTTTTAACCAAAGAATGCTGACCTATACTTGTTTATATATTGCAACTTTGTTATTTAAATGACTAATTTGTAATTGAATTCTTCAGTGGGATCTGGTTTGTGATAAGTCCTACAAAGTTGCTCAACTTCAATCGTACCTGATGTTTGGATTTCTTCTTGGAAATTTCTTCTTTGGCGGTCTTTCAGATTACCTTGGACGCAGGCCCGCCTTCATCTGCTCATTGATTGGTTTAGCAGTTGTAACAAACCTCTCTGCATTTACGTATTCATACTTTATATTTAGTTTTTTAAGGTAAATTTTAGATATTTTTTCATCTGAATAGCAATTGCTATTACAGATAGATGGAGTTACAAATATATGAATAATTAAGCAGATAAATGAATGGTGGATGAATAAAGAATGAATGATTGCATAATGATAAATAATCATTTATTTATTCAGGAATAAAAATATATGTAAAACAATTGCAAGCAGCAGCCAAGGGTGAAATGGATTGCATCACAAAATTAATTGTACACATCAAATAACATGATCATAAAGTCACAAATCAAAAACAAAGTAAATACAAAATAGTAAAATGCTGAAGATAACAAAGCATAAAAAATATAATTCATAGAAAAATTTTTAAAAAATAGATCAAATTATTATTATAATTTTGCTGTTAAACATTCAAATATACAGTACAAAATTAGTTGATACGGTATATCTAAGGAAAACATTACAGCAATTGCTAGTGTTTAAATTGTCGTTATACAGAAATATATTTCACATTTCTCGTTATTTGTATTCTTATAGAGTACTTTATCAATTATATTAATTTAATTAACAGCCTGTAATATTGCAATTATCTTTAAATTATTATTATGATTATTTTACAGTAGGAATTTTGAATTATATAATTTAAATGAGTAAATAAATGAATTAATAAATATAAATATAAATGGATGAAGAAGTGAATGAATGAATGAAAATAATGAATGAATGAAACATAATGAATGAATTAATGAAAAATAATGAATAAATGAAGAATGAATTAGTGGAAAATGAATGAATTTATACATTCATTAATATTTTTCTTAATTTTTTGTCTTTGAAGAATCAGTATAGGCTTCTTTGTAGGTGGTGTTGGGTTGGTAGCGTACGTCTCCGCAACTGAAGTCATTGGTTTGTCTCAAAAAGTATTTGCCGGAAGTTTCTATCAAGCTTTTTTTTCTATAGGCATTATGGTAAAAACTTGTAACTTGTAATTTGTCTAGTATTCAAAATATAAACTATTTTAATGTTTATTTTGATAGTTTTAATTGTTTATTAAATACTGGAAGTATCCAAAATGTAGATAGAAAGAATTTCATTTGAAAAATTTATTGAAATTTATGCTCTGTTTTGTTTTTCAGGTGTTTGCATTTCTAGCGAATCTAATTCGAAATTGGCGATACTTGGCTATTGCAACATCTTTTCCGATTTGTTTGTGTGTAGTTATTTATTGGTAAGGATATACATAAGTCTTTTCGTCTCCACTCTCATATGATTGAAAATAGAGGAGAGAGAACTGTCTCTTATACACATCTAGATGTGTATAAGAGACAGTATATATACATATATATATATATATATATATATATATATATATATATATGCATGCATGCCAGAAATCGTAAACTTTTAAGGCTGATTTCTCAAATACAAATTCAAATATAGCTCTCATTTTACTGTTTGACTCTGTATTAATAACTAAAAATCAATTTTTTGGGAAGAGTAACTGGCTTTGCTTGTCTTTGCCACATATAGTGAAGTGTAAATCATAGTTTCATAGTTGATATTAATTTGTCATGTCTGCTGTTACAGGATTGTCCCAGAGTCTCCTAGATGGCTGGCTTCCCAAGGCAGAATATCTGAGGCAGAAGATATCCTTCTATTTATTGCTAATAAAAATGGAAATATAGTGAAAAAATCATCAATAGAATTAGATGTCCCCAGCAAGACAATCTCATCCACCAAATCATATGGATACATGGACCTGTTTAGGACACCAGTTCTAAGGAAGGAAATGTTGATACAAGCATTTTGTTGGTACACGCAATTATTTTGTTTTATGGCATAATTGGTTAACTACCGTATACACTTGCCCATAAGGCGACCCGCGTATAAGACGATCCCTGATTTTGACAAGATTTTTGGAGGATTTTTGTATGTCAGGAGTGGGGTGGGTGGGGAATTTATTATGTGGGTATCTCCACACACATCCCCCATTTTGTTTTTATTATGAATAGTGTACAAGTTTTCACAAATCATTAATTTTTCATTTATTTTAGCAACACCAACAATTTTGATTTTGCATTGTTTGTTTTCTTATATCTAAAGGTTCGTCTGTAGCCTGGTTTACTATGGTCTGACACTGAGTGCAGGGGACATAGCTAGTAACGCCTATGTCAGTGTTGCCTTATCGGGCCTTGCTGAAATACCTGGAATATTTTTTTGTTTATGGTATCTGGATAAGTAAGGCAGCTTTATTGTATCTAATAATTAAATTGTTCTTTTTTCTAATAATTAGATTGTTTCATTTTGTCACTACACAATATTAAATATTAAATATCTCTCGTTTTTCCTGTATGCCCTTTGTTACAAAATTATTTTCCCATCTATTTAATTGATGTGTTCACCTCCTTGGACAGAGTTCACAATCACAACACCAGATCCAGCCTGGCGGGGTGTTTTGCCCTTCCTCCGACCAGAACTGAAGCTGGCAGAAAACGCTTTGTTTTCCGAGGTAGTGTTATCTGGAACTATGTCCGAGGGGATCAATGACTCTTCTATTTTTTGATTGGATTTATCCTTTTTTTTATATATCTATATTTTTTTATATTTTTATTGGCTATTTTAAATTTTGCTGTTGGTAGTTAAGAGTTTTATTGTTGATCCTGGGCCCTGTGGGAGAGCAGTGTTCAACACTGAACAGGCCACCCAGGATAAAGAAGAAATAAAAAATAAATTAATTAAATCACTTCATATGTTCTTTCTGTTTAATGGATTTGTATTCATGGTTGAATGATCTAAGATGATGGATTTATTTTTCAGACTTGGTAGAAAGAAATGCATGTACCTCTCAATGATTTCAGGAGGTGTTGCATGCTTCCTGGTCATAATCTTTTCACAATCTGCAACCGGTGAGTTGATCTTATCATTTTTATAAAGTATTATCATTATTAGATATTATTATTATTACAACATTAACAATAACTATAGGTGTAATTTTGCCCAACCTGATGTGAAAATGTATTGAATACTCAGTACGTGTGAAAACACTTGCGAAAAAAATCACAAGTTGTTCTTAGGTGGGACTTGAACCCACGATCTCCAGACAGTAGGCTGGCATCATTGTGAAAGTTTCATCAAATAAATAATTATAGTACATGTGATTGTATTGCAGGAGAGTTTGGCAAACATCTGAGGACTGTATTTGCCCTGATTGGTAAAATGGGTATTTCCGCATCATTCAGCGTTGTATACATATACTCCAATGAACTGATCCCCACCGTAGTAAGGTACGTACTTTTGCACATGCCCAGTAAGGTACAGTCTTTTCAGTGGTGACTCTGCCAGAAGGGGTCCAACATGTCAGGAGTTTAAACAAGGGGGCGGCTTAAGGCGTCTAATTAGGGTCCTGGAGTAAAACCCTTGTTGGGTGAAGGGGTAAGGTACTATGGGGTAATGTATTATAGGTGTATGGTACTGTACTATTGTTTAGGATTGTAAAAATGGTGCTTTTAGACATTGTGCTTTAGAAACTGTTAATCTTAATTAGCGTGAATGTGAGAGTTTTCGTATTTTCTCAATTTATTTACAGTACCTTATTTTTCATTATAATAGTGACATATTATTGATCTAAAATCGTTGATATTTTTCTATGTAAATTGTAATTCCTTTAGGAATAGTGGACTTGGCTTTTGCTGTGTGTCAGCCAGGATGGCTGGTATATTAGCACCAAGGGCAACATCATTGGTATGAAAATGATTAACTTTCTCATTCTATAATAATAAAGCATTATTATTATTAAACAATATTGATACTATTTGTCTGAGGGGCGAAGGCCCGAGCCAGGGGAGGGTATGGGAGGGGGGTGTCCCCTCCTCCCAAAACAAGATTTTTTTTTTAAATTGGGATTTTTGGACTATGTTCTGCTTGACTGATCAGACCCAGACGAAGCTATTGCTGAGACAGATTTGGCTTGGTGTAGGCAGAACAGTACTGGGATGGGAAAACTAGGCCTATTTTTTTTTTGGTCCAACTGCTGACGAACTTTGGCCGATGGGGGAGGCCTTTACCAGACCGATGGGGGGACTTAAGCCCCCCCCCCCCCCCCCCCCCGGCACCACCCCTGCCAGGCATGTGTCTACAGTCCTTGGCACCTCATTCCCCTGAAACATTCTTGGCTAAAAATAATAATGCTGTGCTGTAATTATGTCAGTATTTAGAAATATCCAGGGTGACACGTCCATGTACACAACAGTTACAAATTTGCATAATGCTAAACTTATTTCATCTATTTTGTCTTATCTTCTATAAAACAGGGTGTTTTCAATATGTATGCCTTGTTTGGAACTGCTTCAATAATTAGTGGTTTCTTAAACCTGAGGCTACCTGAGACCTTTGGCAAGCCCTCTCCAGAAAGCATTGATGATGTTGAGAATAGACCAGCGAACAAACAAACCACCGCTAAAACATTGGTTAACAGTGAAACAGTACAAGCAATAGAAGAGAATATTAGTATGCTACAAAATGGAGAGCCAAATATATAGAGGCCAAATGAAATTAAAAACATGTTTCTCATCTATTTTTTATACACAGGTGATTGATTCACAGATATGACCACTGCACATGCACAGGGGACAGGGATATATTATATTGTATAAGAAAGTAAATTAGGAAACATGGTATTGGTTATATAAATTGTTGCTTAAATTAAGTGTTTTGAATTTATATCTGTAATAATTATATAATAATAATATTTATTAAAAATCACTTTTAATAATAATAATACTGATAATTTAATACTAGTGTTTTGTGGTTTAAGAGTTTTAAAATTTAATGACTATAAAATTGTATATTTTTATGATAGAAATAAAGTAAAATATATACATATTTATATAAAGAAAATAATTTTATTGAATTGTCTTCAATATGAACTACCCATGAGACCAGAATGAAAAATACAATATATCCTATGTGCTGCTAATTGTTGTGAGTGCTGGTTGTTTTATTATGTTTTGCTGAATGTTCTAATGTAATGATGATATGAGGTGAGCAAGTATCTGATTGCGTGTCATGATTGAACACTGAAATACAGCTTCACTCTTGATTATGAGGATGATAAAAATGAGGATGATAAAATTAAATAATGATGATGAAGATGATGATAATATAATGCATTTACCTGGTGATTTTCGAAATGGTGAACATTAAAACAAAATTAGTAGTATATATTTACATTTATATATATGTATGTATATATATATATGTATATTGTATATATATATATATATATATATATATCTGATCGCGTGTCATGATTGAACACTAAAATACAGCTTCACTCTTGATTATGAGGATGATAAAAATGAGGATGATAAAATTAAATAATGATGATGAAGATGATGATAATATAATGCATTTACCTGGTGATTTTCGAAATGGTGAACATTAAAAACAAAATTAGTAGTATATATTTACATTTATATATATGTATGTATATATATATATATATATATGTATATTGTATATATATATATATATATTAGGCCTACAATGAGAACACCTATATATGAGCGTATAATTGTCAAATTATTGTTGTTATTACTAATAATAACTAATCTAAACTTAATATAATCACTGTCATTTCAAAATTATCACCATTTTTATGATTAAACGTATAGCAACTTCAGAAATGAATTGCGAATGGATTATGTCGACGTCCCATACTTACCAGGGTGAATCCAGATTTTTTCAAACAGGGAAGGGGGCTCAATATTTTCAGAATAAATAAATGAGTAGTGGTTATATTAATACACAGCATTGATATGCATTGAAAAATTCAGTGACAAAACGGGCGTACCTGCCCCCCCCCCAGATGTGTACCACCACACACACACACACACACACTGGATTCGCGCCTGCCTTCTACTGACCCATTGTGGTAACTATGCTCGAAGCTTCACAGACGTATTATTAAACCCCATTGCTAATATTAATATATTCCTTATGAAAGTCACGACGTCGCTCGCATACACCGTACGGTTCAATGTAAAAGTCGTCAGCGAGTACGTCTATTTACAACAGTAGTATTGCAGCTAAATTAATTGAATTCTTTTCAGTAATACTTGATGGCGTTAAGTAGACTTGATTGAAATAATAAGCATCATTCAAAACGAATTATCTTGCATGCATGTACGATGTTCTACTTCTGATAAAGCTTTAAGAATTCACTCAACTTGGTCCGAGATTCTACGAGGCGGTTGAGTGCGGAATATGCTAAGTATAGAAGAACCAATATTATTTTTTAATTTGAGAAGCATTAACTGCAGCATTTCTGCATTTTTATACAAGTATATTTTAGCTAAACTAAAATTGCATTATTTTGCGCAAAAGGCTCTTCCATTATATCTCAAGGGGTGTACAATCCATTCAAAGTACACAGTAATTACCTTGCTGTCGATTGCCGCTGTTTGGCAGTTCTACTTTCCGTTCGCTGGTGGTTGTCGACCAATCCAGTTTCTCAGGCTGCGACGATGTTGGTACCTTCTTCACATCTTAACAAAAATGAAATAAAACGTTATATCATGACGTCACTATGTAGGGGGAAACGATAATAAGTGCATCGTTATTGATTGTATATCCCCTGCGTGTTTAATGCGATATTTTAGGTGAACTTGTATTCTTCATCCCTCATTATTATTTTTGTTTTGAATTAAAACATGTCTACAATCATGACTGACTTAACAGTAAATTATCATACGAATACACGTGGGACTGCAATTAAACATTATTATCTATTACCATGATGGCACTTGAGGTCGTGATGGAGAACGACGTTTCTTGACCTCACCATCTCGGTCCAACTATTATTGGACCTCACCGGTACGCTGTGGAGGAATGAAACGCACAATGCTTCGGGATTGCTTGAACTCTGCCTTAATAGGAAAGTACCCCTCCGTTGTGACGTCAGTAAGTCGTTGGCTGCTTTCTCAGAAAGGTTTCCATAGTAATAACTATACGAAAAATTATTTTGTGTTAGCTATTTTTGCATCATTTTGCATAAAAATCGTTATTTACAAAGAACATTTCTGATTTCAAGAAAAATAATATATTAACACATAAGCTATATCCTTACCTGCCAATTGCTTCTGCCTGAGGGGGAGAGAAGAATTAAAAAGTATAAAAGTTAAGGTATACATGTAGGCTTATTGAGGTCTTTCGGCTTAAACTGAGATAAATAGTAGGTTAGGTAAACAACGATGATCAATGCAGATTTAAAGATAAAGGAAAATAAAAATGATAATATTTTTAATGTCTTACACAACTGATGTTTGTCTCTGTATACGCCTATATTAATAGCGATGGAGGCATTATGTTCATTGATAAAGACAATGATGCGATGGACGATGATGAGCCAGTGATAACGTAATATACTAGATATTTTTTGTATAACATGATTTTTTTATAAGTAAAATCATCACCTGGTGAATAACATTTTCTAACTGAGCTTTTACATTTTCGGGTAAGCAGGTCTTCGTGTCATTTTCACTTGCTTTCACTGGCGGGAAGATTGCACGACTCAAGTCCAGGCCAAACTTATTAGGCGTATATAACTCACTTGCATCACGTGATTTGGGGGCGTGGGGTTGTCTTAGCAACGGCTCCCGTAGACACCCTGTACGACGTTGCCGACGAATGAAATCCTGTACAGAAGTTCCCGAATCCCGTAAAAGTTTGTCGGTTGCAGAAGTTACAAAGTTCGAGCTCATCCAGTCAACGAATCTCTTGAAGTATTTCTTATCGATAACTTGCTCTTCAAATAAATCGAATATTGTTTTTATTTCTAAATGTATTGACACCTACATCATATGTCTTAATTTAGACCATTGCATCAAATGGTATTATTTTTTGATTCATTTTGTAGTAGGGCTACAGTACAATAGAAAGATTAAACGAAAACGTACACCTGCTTGATGTTTGATCTTATACGCATCTAGATGTGTATAAGAGACAGCTATTTATGGCAGATCAAATTATAAAAATTTGTCAGAAACCTTAAGCCATGTCCAGATATCAAATTTTATTTGACAAAGACATGTCTCAAAGTGGTCATAATGACATCACATCATGACCATATAAAGGCACATCATGACTATATATAGGCACATCATGACTATATATAGGCGCATCATGACTATATATGGGCAGACAAAGAAAATTTGATAGTGTGGGCAGAGCTTTAGCTTCCATATTACCTGGGAAAAATGAACTCAAAGTTTCTTCAGTTTTTTTCTGTCGATGACCTATGTTCTTCAGTAATTGTTGGACAAAGAAAATCCACCGTGTCTGAGAAGGAATCATGCATGTAATAGGGCTTAGTTACATCATAAAGTTATACCTTGTTATATACATTATTTGGCCGAAAGAAAAGGAATGTCTCTACCTGTGATGCGTCCTTGAACCATGTACTCCATACGTATTCTGCAAGATCTTTACTATCCTCATCAACATCATTAATAGCTACCTCATCTCTAAAAACCTTAATTTATATTGGATTAAAAAAGAAAAAATAATATGTTATTATTACAGGATCACCAAAGGCCGCCCAAGCCCGAGGGCTGGCCGGCTACAACGATAAGGTCTAGTGAGGGGCTGCCTTTCAATCGAATGGCAGGCCGCAGTGGGGTATTGTGTGCGTAACCCTAGAAGTTATGGCCTTAAAGTTTTTAGATATATAATTTAGACAATCATGTTCAAAATTGACATTTTTTCATTACTCCTTTTATCTACTGTTCATCCTAAAGGCCTGGGGTCAGTATGAGCCCTGGGCATAAGGCTTTGGAGAGTCTCTTTCAGGGGGAAGCTCATCAGACCTAAAGATATTGCCTAAATTAATCAGGCATAGGCCTACACATGCCAACCTTTGGATATTTTTGCTGGTCCCACATATCGAAAGCGTAAACGTGTGCAGTAAAATTGCATGTTTGTTTGTGTGGGACATGCGCGCATTCCTGGATATTGAAGAACGCTTTCTGATTGGTCATTTGTTAAGATTGACTGCCTTGGAGAGGCCCTGGCCCAGTTGTAACAGAGAAAATGTGCAAAATTGCTCAATACAATGACACTAACTTTTAAAATGTTTTTAGCCTCTTGTATCTTCGTTTTCAGATCCTCTGTCCACGTGTACAGAGTGTTCGTCTCATAGCTTGTTCCCATTGCGTAAAGTAATCGGCCTACGTCAGTCATTACTTCACTGTATTGCGTGACAATACTAGCATAGTCTATTAAACATATGTATTGAAATAAGAATTCAATCATGCGTTGTGTACCTTAGGTCTAATTCTTTTCTTACCGAATAATGCTTGGTTCACCCATTGTTAACTAGTCCATTTAAGTTACACGTCCTATCCAAACTTCACTAAAAATATATATGAAATATATTTTATATATGTCAGGCACGAGCAGATTATTGGATATAATTGATGAAATCAAATATAAAGCAATATATACCTTTGATACTCGTTAACATAAATCCTACTTCGAATATTAAGCTGAGTTTCTGAACAATGACCTCCACGTCAGAAGTCCACCGTGGAAGTCTGTTCTTGACAATTTCATGCAGAAGACCAAGGTGATAAGCAACTTCCTTGCACAATTGAAACAGGTGCCGATGTTCCGCGTCTGACGTCATTTCATTTCGTGCCTTCTACCTATAAAATGTAAGAACTTAATAGACAGTAGGGGCCTACTAAAAACGTATGTTTTAATAGTCGTAAAGCATAGCATCATTTTGTTTCCCTATTACTGATTATGTGTTAGTATTTTTTTATACTGTTATTTTGCAATTTTAATGACGACACGGCCTTGTAGAATAACATCCTCTAGGTGAGACAAGCTTTCCGTGTAAAAATAAAGTTTTAATAATAATAATAATAATAATAATAATAATAATAATAATAATAATAATAATAATAATAATAATAATAATAATGTAATAAGCATTATGGCGGACTGCTATCAAGGAGCCAGAGAGCTCATTAACATTCAAGGGAGGGGGAACGATGTTCATGGTTATATATTAACCCCTTCCTCTTATAAGCATTACTAGATCCTCTCTCCATCTGTGAAAGTCCTTCACATTTCCCCATGTTCTTAATCAAACATACATAGCGGACCCGTAGGTTAATTGTTCGACACAGGTCCTCCTATAAATGGCCCGTGAGTATTGCTTAATTGCTGGAGACAATCAAAAACGCAATAAGTGAGGGATTCGAACCCAACCTACTTAAAGTGCTTGCTTTACTTCTATTTATTGCAACAGACTAACGGCTCACCATATTACTCAAGGTCAGAGAGTACCGACACTTTCGCTGCTTCGCACTTCTTAAGCAGCCCCGGCTTTAGCCTTCAGTGACAACAATTTAAATATTCACTCTCATTTTCAAAGTTAGTCATTCCTACCTTTCCAAGTTTCAATCCTATTGAAGAAACATTGTCGACTGTGAGGCTGTCTGTCGTTTGTACTGTATGAAATCACAGGAGCGCATGGTTACGAATGTTTTCTGTCTGTTATTGCTGGTGTTTACATGCGACATTCCAAACTATTATGCCGACAAAACCATAGTAACACGACCGGTAATACCGTTCACTTAGTTGTATAATGGCTTCGTCAATTCTATTAGCTTTATTTTGGTTACTTTGTGTAGGAAAATATCATAAGGGATTTTTTATTCTACCTAAGGAATGTGGAGCTGCCAGGGGTTCCTCCGGGCCCCCAATAGCATGGGTGTATGCAAGAGGGTGTCGGGAAGGTCGTACGCCCCGGGTCGTACGCCCCCCCCCCCCCAAATTATTTTTGTAAAGGTCCACATTTTTTAGGGCCTTTTCACAATAACATAAATGAAAAAGCATTGATGAGGCACCAGCAATTAGTCTAAAGACCTTGCCAATTCCGTGACGTAATCTATTTCCAATTCCAGCAATTCTGAAACTGAGCCTTCCATCCGCTTTAAGCGATTTTCCCACTGAAAAGGTCAAAAAAATTATGATCACGACCCACCCAGAAAAAAATCCTGGATACACCCTTGAATAGAGGCCACAAGAAACCCGCCTCCCCGCCCTACCATTTTGCCACCACCTTGAACTCAATTTACACTTTCTCCCATCCCCCTCCCCCATCCCAACCCCTGCAATAAATTCTGAATCCATCGAGGTTTGTTGATCCGCCCAGTACGAGAGATTGCCTGCCGATCAATAAATTGGATCATTTTGCAGCGCAATCTGGCAACGCATAATCATGGCTGACAAGGGAAAGAGCGTGCCTAATTCTGCTTCTAAAAAGACGAATGAACAGATTGTCCATGAATTCAATCAACTTCGTCAAGAACAGCGAGCTTTAGCTAGTAAAATGAACGAACTAGAAGCTGAGGCAAATGAACACAGGTACGTAGACCTACTTTGTTTTCGTGGAATTCATTAACCAACTGTCGGTCGCCGATGGGCAGGCCTGAAATGGTCGACCAGTTATGCCCAAGGAATGCCCTGGGCTGGGCATAGATACGATGTTTGGTAACCACGAGAGGCTAGCATTTACGCCCAGACGAAAAAGTAGAAGGTACTGAATGTCTTTCCTGGCCTAGGGTAGACCATCTCCTAGATAATAACATGTAGGCCTAAATTTAGGCCTACCTACTTACAACAACAGACACTAGGCCTACAGTTAGTCAGAGTGGGTGGGTAGCCTAGGTGGGTATTCGCCTAGGTAGGACGTCGTCGGAGATAGCACTGACGTTTGTCGCTGTCGCGTATCTGTGCAGATTCTAGCAACAATATAGGAGGGGAGTCACTCATTATTTGTGGCAATTAATTAACTATTTTATTAATGATCCAGTAGTTGTAACTCTACTAGGCCTATATATATTTATTTAACATCAATATTTTCATGATATACTGACAAAGTTATACTGTATTAATATTATTATATTATAGGTGGAATTCTTATAGGGATTTAATTACTTACATCAATTATTCATGCTTCCTTGGTCCAAATCAATTGCATCCATGCCACATGGTACAGTCACAGATTGTAAATTCTGTGTGGTACAAAGAACTGCTCAGTTTATTATCAAATGAATATTACCCTGTTGCAGATGGCAAAAAAAAAATTATGCTGTAAGTTGGGCTATATAGCCTGCTGTAATTATCCACATTGAAGTATTAATTTTTTTTTTAAATATATAAATTATATATAAATAAAATATAAATTTTATATATATATATTTTTATTAAGTATTATGTTTGTGATTGCAGGTTATGAACAAACAATTATTTACATGTACCTTGTGTATTTAATAATATTTGTTTAATGAATGGGTTCTTTGTGATTTTGTAGATGCATTTGAAATTTTTATATTAAATGATATTTTTTTTTTTTACAATTTTCTCGATTTGGTTATGTTATTGTTAAGTGCTCTCTAGGCCTTTTGATATAATGTAATGTGTAATTTACAATTGTTGTTAGAAAGTACATTGGAAAATATATGCATTTTCATTTCAGTCTTGTGATTAAGACTCTTGATGGTGTTGATGGAGAGCGGAGATGCTTTCGAATGGTTGGAGGTGTACTGGTTGAGAGAACCGTCAAAGATGTACTTCCAGCATTGAAACATAATAAAGAAGGGGTAAGTGATAGTGCATAAATCAGGTCTTAAATGGTAAAAGCTTACAAAGAAGAGGCCTACCATGTGTAGAAATGTACTGTACTACAATTACGATGTCTATAATTTATTTGTTATTGATATGTGTCCACATGCTGTCCATACTAAAATGACATCATTATGCCTAATATGGGCAAATTACAGGGATTTGTCACAGAAATTTGAAACGGAGAGCATTTTACATCATTTTACCCCAGTCTTGACTATTATCCAATCCAATATCACAATTATCATTGAAAACAAAATCAGGTCAACATGAGCCATTATATCATAATTTTATACCTGATGGACGAGACAAAAAAATGGATGCGTCACCCTCTATGTAATAATCGCGTAGGCGAGAGACGTAAAAAGGGGATGCTCATGTGTGAGACAAATGCTTGTGTGAGTTGGGAGATGTATAATATAAATACATGTTCTACATCTTGTTCTGTTTAATGATTCATTGTTATCTTTTTTCAGTTGATAAAACTACTAGAAAATTTGAAACTCCAGTTAGAAATCAAGGGTAAGGAATTGCAGGCATACAGAGAAAAACACAACATCAGAATCCGAGGGGAAGAGACAGAGGAGAAAGAAAAGGAGACAACCAAGGCTGCTGGATCTCAGAGTGTCTTAGTTGGGAAAGGAACATGATGATGCTGTTGAATCTTGATTGATCTATTCACAACCAGTTCAAGCTAGTTACAACTAATTTTTATTTCAAACATTGCAATCTGGATTGATCCAGTTGAAGCGAGTTCCAACAAGTGTATTACAAATATTGTGGCATTAAATTATTGACACTCAGTTAAAATCTACTCATGTTTACATTAAGGCTAATCTGCAATGAGGCTATTGCAATTAAAAGAAAATGTTTCTCAAACAAATTTCAATGATACCATGTGACCAAATTAGTGGTAAAACAAAGGAATTCATGGACATATACACATAATGAAACAAATTAATATCCATTGTTATATATTATTAATGATTTCATACAATGATTGATAAGAAATATTAAGTGATTTCCAAATGTACTCCAGTAAGCGCCTTGAGCACTTTAGTGGAGATGTGCGCTTAATAAATCTTATTATTATTATTATTATTATTATTATTATTATTAAAACCAAATCACCTTAATAATGTTTATCTTATGTAATAAGTAAAAACATTGTAGGTTGGTAACACTATATCAGTAATGCACATTTTAAAAAAGCTTATAAACTGGATTTCTGAGTTTTGTTGCACATATGGTAAAAGTGTGATTTACCCATATAGTGCAGAAACTTGTAAGCCTGTAAATTCTGGCCAGAAAGAACTAGGTGAGGTATCCCAAATTAAAGAATGTTAAAGTCACTTAGTGGGGTGGGGTATGACATGTATACTGTGTATGCCCATCCTATAATGCGTTAATAAATAATTTATTAATATGATTGCAGTATTCAGAGAGTGATTTAACTGCACTAACAGGAAATGTACACTTTAAAATTGCATCAAATTTATTCATTTCTTGTTGACTGAATGTTTTCTGTTTCCATGACACCAAGTTTGATGATGGATAAACTGTAAAACAAGGCTTACGATGTTTATTATTCATCAACTTGAATTAAGGTTAGAGCTAGAGTGTGCCCTCAATCATTACGAATATGTAAATGTTTCAGCCTTCTATTATTAGCTTAAATAGACAGCCTGCTCTGCACACAGTTTTATATTTCTTTTTAATGTTAATGTGTTGTACCACATTATATATGTATACAACAATTACACTGTTCCTGGATTGCTTAGCATCCATCCATGTGGCTGTGGATAAGTCTACGTTTTAATGTTAATCAAATCAGGATGTTCTGTTAATATTTGTTTATTTTTTAAACCTTTTTTTACAGCCTTTACTATCTTCCTCTAGTTAAATATTATGAATAAATATTGCTTTCTAAGCAGCTTAAAATAAAATTATATTTCATTTTGTAATGGTACGAGTCTTAACCTAATGACATGACTGTGCTGATTAAAACAAAGTTAATTGTTGTCTGCAATTACAACCCTGAGCCATAGTAAACAATAAAATCTCTCCCCATAGATTTTATTCAAACATTACTTAAAGCTGATTTTACACTAGGCAATTACAACAAAATACAAATAAAATCTCTCCCCATGAACCCCATAGACTTTATTCAATAATTACTTAAAGCTGGTTTTACACTAGGCAATTACAATAAAATACAAATAAAATCTCTCCCCATGAACCTCAGAGATGTTATTCAATAATTAGTTAAAGCTGGTTTTACACTAGGAAATACAAATAAAATCTCTCCCCATGAACCCTAGAGATTTTATTCAATAATTACTTAAATCTGGTTTTACACTAGGCAATTACAACGAAATACAAATAAAATCTCTCCCATGAACCCCAGAGATTTTATTCAATAATTAGTTAAAGCTGGTTTTACACTATGCAATTACAACAAAGTACTGTACAAATAAGATCTCTCCCCATGAACCCTTGAGATTTTATTCAATAATTAATTAAAGCTGGTTTAAGTGAATTTATCATTTCTATGGGATTTTTTCGCTTCAGCAGAATCAGTAGTTTCAATGCAAAAAAAATGCGCAACCAATCAGAGCTCAGGAAGCCGAACCGACGCTTTGGGTTCGCGCAAATAAATTCGCCTAATGGAAAACGGGCTTTATATCAGATTGACATTAAACGATTAATTACTTTCACTTTGGTTCCAAGGAAAAATAGAATAGGGTTAAATACCCCCCCCCCCCAGCTAAATATGGAATAGGGTTAGGGTTAAATCAGTCGGACATAACCTTCAGTTATCGTGGTAACAAGCGTAAATTTCCTGATTAGTGAAACATTTTACGCAAATGAGCAATTAGCATATTCACACACGTTCCAAACAAAAACAATATACTCCGTCGTTTATTACCATCTTGCTTATGCAAAGTTTGAAACCAACCAGACGTTTCCAAAGTTTAGTTACCGTGGTAACTAGCCTAAATTACCTGATCAGTGAAATATTAATTATGAAAAAATGAGCAATTAGCATATTCACACACATAACTTGTTAAAAATAAATTCTTAAAAATGGTTATAGTTATATACTAAACTTGCCACAAATCCCTTATTTTTTTTTAAACAATTCTGGACAGCGCCACCAACGATAAAGTTAATTTAAGAGCAAGATTATTACATTTTTAGAGAAATCGGAAAAAAATAAATCGCATAGGTACACCAATTAAATTATGTATGGTGCGCAGTAAGTGCAATGGAGACTGAGTAACCCGAAATTCGGACCTAGAACAAAGCTAGTCGATGACAGGACGATTACACTTTTTGTTTTATAAGAACATATTTTTTAAGAACACTGAGGCTGAAATTGCCCGGCCTAATAATATAAGAACAAAATAAGAACAAATTGAGGCTGAGGTAAAATTTCAGATGACGTTATTAAAAAATAAAATAACCCCAAAAAATCTTATTTGTACCTTATTTGCACACAGTAGATGTGACTATACAGTATCCCTCTATATAAGAGTACAGTAATACACCAGGCCCGTATCCAGGGGGGGGGGGGTCAGCTCATTTACAGTCGCTTTTAATCCACTCTTTATATCAAACTTTGCTATTATTCATTTAAAAGCAGAATTGATTTTGAATTTTTATTCGTAATGGTTAGGAATTTATACAGTAATATTTTTCATTTGGGAAACAATTTGCTTGTTTCTCATGTCCTCCACTGGTAATTTTTTGATAGGCCCTATCGCTGTGTTCACGGACATAGAGATTAACATGATAAAATGCCTTCAAATTAGTCTACTAGGACGTAAGAAAGCAAATTTTTCCAGGGCCTTTGGCCTCTGAACCTGGGGCCCTGGGCGACCCCCAAAAAATGTGAGAACACTGCAAAATCGGCAAAATATATGAGAACACTGAGCCTGGGAAAAATTGTGCTGGTTCTTACATATTTGCAAATCTGATAACTACCCTCAATTACCGGGTTAGTGAAATATTAAATAATAAAATGCAGTTATACACCACAAAAGCGGTCAAAGAACGCAACAGAATTTGAGATTCGTTTCGTTATAATTGTTTATTAAAAACAAAGGAGTACAGTAAGTGGATCTGAAATGCTATACTTTTTAGTACAATACAATACAATATTTAGTATAGAATTGCATCAAAGTATAGATACTATACTCCTCTGGGTAACACGGCCGATGGTGGCGGAAAGCGTTTGGAAAACCCACCATGACGTCGTAGTTGATTTTCAAACAAACCACGCTTCCCACAATCGGCTGTGTTAACTTTAGAGATGGTTGGCAAACAAACTACTGCTACTCCGGACCACACGAACTGACTTGTGTTTGATCGAGTTTTATATAATGCACAGTAACACAATGTTCACTTCCTGGTGTTGAATTAGCAAAAACAATTCATTGACTCATTTACAAATTTCATTCATTAATCAATTATTGTAATATTTGTAGAAATACTGAGTATAATCTAATCTAAATTTAGATTAAATCAGTTGGCATTTTTGTTCATCTGAATGAACATTTACTCATGAATATTCAATAGAGCATTCTGAACCTCAACATATGCGAGTCACTGGAAATCTTGCCCATCAGTAGTACAGTACATTGAGTGTTTAGCTAGCTTACTGAGCCACTTTGGTTGGACGATGTAACTGTCAATGTAAATATTTATACACTTTATCTATGTCTATGTAAAACCCATACAGCGCATACAGAACAGTGTATTTTGCACTTTTAAATTTAAAATCATTAACCATTAACCCGAAAGAACCTGTTCAAAAAATGATAGTTATTCATTAGAATGGCTAAATATGGTAAAGGTGTACAGTCTGCAATTTATATAGACCTGCTTTTTCATGTTTCTGATACCTTTTGGCCATGTAACAATCGTAAAATTTGGTCCCCTGTTTTACTTGAGCTAAAGTGACCTTAATAAACAAAAAACAAATACATTCTTATACTTTATCCATAAAAATACTTAATTTTACTGTAAAAACATTAGTTTTGGTAAACTTTTTGCAAAAATCAGGAAATATCCGTAAGGTTGTTAGCATTTGTGCGAGAGAAAAATTTAGTGCCAAATTGCTCAGAATGTGATATGTATGTATATTTGCTGTAATGAAAGATTTCCTCCGAAAATTGACAGGAAAATATTTATTACCAAAAACACATTTTTATGGCAAAAAAAAAGAAAAATAACCCCAGGATTTATATAATGTTCTTATTTTCCAAGGCATCAATTTTAATTCATTCAGTATCCGCTAATGACATTTTTATACTTTATGCATAGAAATATACCTAATTTGAAAAAATGGTTTTGATAAAATTTGGTAAAAATCAGGAAAAATATGTTGGTCTCTTAAGCATTTGTGCGAGACAGTCAAATTACTTTGGCATAGGCATGTGTATTTCCATTAGCTGTAATAACAGACCATTTTCTGAAAAAATAAGGAAAAATATTATTGCCAAAATAATATTTTTAGGTCAAAAAAACACGATTTATATAATTTTCTTATTTTTCAATACAGTGTAATATTATACATTTTAATCTTATACCTTATAAAAATGTATTCTAATATTTTTATTGTTATTATTATTAATTATTACTATTACTATTATTCTTATTATTACTATGAATTGCCAAGAACAACTGTTTTAGGTAAAAAAAAAATACAAGCTTTATACAACTTTCTTATTTTCCAAGCCATCAAATGTTTTCACTTATTCAATGGTAATAGTAAAGTGACAAATAAATCACAAATATTTTTAAAAATATACATATTTTAAAAATATAAAACATTATATTGATTTAAAGCTGCCCACCGTACCCCCTTTTTTTGGAGCCAATGTCAGCAAATTTCTGGACCTACCACTGCTTGAACAATGAGTGACCGTAGGCTGTGGTTGTATCAACTAGGTTTGAACATTATCTACTTCCATCATTGTAAATTAATTGTTTTAAATTGCATCACTTTCGGCAAGATAACAAAATAACTCTTATATTAGCTTTGTATTAAGAGGTTAGTCCACATATATCCTATGCCTCCTTAAAATGGAAACATTCTGAGCTACATTTCCTTGATTGGCTATGCAGCATGCACCCTCACAACAACACATGCTCAGTCTTCTCGTAGATGGACTTGAAACAAAAGGTCCAGCTTGTGTGGTCTTAAAAAATAATCCTCACTACCACACATCCTTGGTTTGGGTTCAGTTTTCTTGATAAGGACTTTGAACAAAAGGTCCAGTTTGTGTGCTCTTAAAAAATAAAACCCACTGCATCTTTCATAAGAGTAGGGGGTTATCCTGAGTTAAACATACTAAGCTCCTACAGGGACCACACTTGTAAGCAAATCAGCAAACTGAGTTGTGTTACTCTCCTACCTGTGCCTGAATGCTTTTCGGCCATATTGAACACTGAAATGTTTTGTATACATAGCTATAGTATCAACTGATTGAGAAAGAGCAATAATAAACTAACACAGTATATAGAGGCAAGATCTGTATTGCTAGTCTTGTACATAACATTTAATGTTCAAATGGATCGTGATACAGTACATGTACAAGCTATAGGCGAACACTTTACTCACAAAATGAAATCTAAAAGGGACCTTCGGAGGAAAGAAAAACAGAATCAAACTATCAAGCGCACGATGACTGTAAACTTGCGTTGTTTTATCACATCAAACAATTCATTACAACACAAGATAAAAAACAATATATAAATTATGATTGACTTTTAACAATACTATCAATAATCTTTTGGATTTGTAAACATCCCAGTAGTTTTATGGGAAGCAAATATACATTACATTAACATGACATTTTTGATGGAAATTACCAAAGAAAATACCATCAGTATTGACAAATCAATTTCATTTTGTTCAGCTACAATGTACAGTAACTCTTGTTTCTACTATAGGATTACAAAAGTAGAGACAAGTCTTGGTAACTTCTCTACTACTATCTTTGAGGTAACATGCCCAACATGTACATGCTGACAAGCTAAATGTTGAAATATGTATGCAAGTGTCAAATAAGTAAACATTCACACTTGCAATAATCTACCATGAATCATTTCACATATTTTACCTAAATGTGATCATGATGACATCACATCATGACCGTATATAGGCATACAACAATGTGGAGAGAGATTTAGATTCTAAGTATTTGTTAGGGACACAAGCACTTTCACCATGTAAGTTATTGAAATATAATCCTGTTATTTTACAACCAACAAACACTACCATCAATAACACAGAAGTCGGGTGGGGAATTTTTTTTCAATACTGAATATTTGTTTTAAATATCTTATTTACACTTTAATGGTTGTAAGGAAAGTTTTGGGAACTATCTTTTGATATAATTAAGTTTTTGACATTTTAATTTGTTGTTTTGGCACTGCATTTCATAGTGTATATGTATGTGTGTGTGTGTGTGTGGGGGGGGGTGTGATTACTTGTGATGACCCGATTTGATGAATGAGCCCCATCTGAAAATAAAGTTTAATAAACACCTGTAGTAAATGATTTCAGGCAGTATAAGGTTGTATTGTATCCTAATTTGCTTATAATCACAACAATAACCCATTGAGATTACCAATAAAAAATCTGGGTCATTTCAATTTTTCTTTAAAACCCCAAAATGTCACCTGTACCTTTGTAAAAACAATAAGGACAACAATGATTTCATTATGTAAGCTACATCAATGCATTCTGTAATAAATCAACAGTAATTCATTATTTCTTTAAATCTAGGAATACAGGTGTGTATATATATATATATGTGTGTGTGTGAAGTATGAAATGATTCTAGCTATACTTATAGAGTGGTAGTTTAAATTCCAAGTTGAAATTTCTATAGCAACAATCAGTCCATATTAAGTATATGATGCATGATGGTACAAAGAAACATGTATTTTGGCTGTATAAAATCCGTTATAGAGAACATAAAAATTAAATTTAATGTGTGGCTATCTAGTTAGTTGTATATAATCCAATACGATTACATGATACTCCCTCATATTTTGAATGTTACAGAATGAAGCACAGTCTGATATGTGGATGACCCCGTTACCCATTACGTGCTAACCAGACAGCAACCACACAAAGTCTACAATTAACCACCTTGACAATTTAATTTACAGTCGACCATCCTATAAAACATGTGCCATTGTAATGTACAGATGTGGGTGAAGAATGCTTAGAGCTAGGCCTTCGACTTTAGCACTCAACTTAACTATAATCCGTGCAGATTAAGAATCAACTTGCTAGACCATCCATACATAACACATAATGCCTCTTACATAGCAGAGGCCCAGACTTATGTAATAAACCCACTGAAACACCTTGCACCTTAAATTAATGTCCAAATATTAACCCCTTTGATTAGAACAAAATATTTTTGTTGTCTTAGCCAAAAGCATTCTTCGACTTATGCAGATATTTAAGTGGTTACAAAATATAGTGATTATAGAACCTAATATCGGGGGTTGAGGTGATGAGGGCCAAAATCTAAATAACACATGTTCAAAACTATCCATAAGGGATACCTTAAAAATAGGGTGCCCTCTATGAACAACAAAGAATATCTTGTCACAGTTGACCGTAAGAGGGCAGCAATCATATTGCGATAATCTTGATTTAAGATCATTGTCATCATCTTCTTCATCACCCATCATAGTTAAATCACTACTACCTTGATAAGCTCTAATTAAACTTCAATGAGTGCTTATCAATTCATAAAGCAAGCTCTAAACTCTTGTCCTGTTGAGGCCTAGCTGTAAGAATATATATAATATACAGTATGTATGAAATAAGAAGTGAAAAAAGACAGGATCACCAACAGACAGTGTCAGGACAAGTATTATCCACAATTAATCGGATAATGAGATCATTTGTTATTTGCACGGTCAGGATGGTCTCAGTTTAAACCTAGAAATAATTAAAAAAAAAAGAAAATATATTAATAAATATAATGGACAAATGAATTATTAGATGAATAACTCAATTCATTTGGGCAATTTTTCTATATTTCCTTCGCATCCAACAGCAAGTACACTCACCGCCTATGGATGGAACGATGCATTATAGACCAAGTCTCTTATTGAGGCCTAAGAACTGGAGTTATCTTTAGTAGTGAGAAAAGTCCTGCAGTCACAGGAATTGAACTCAGCACCCTGGTATTGGAAGGCAAGCATCTTAACAACCAAGCTATTCAACTCCAATCCGTTTGCAAAAATCCCTGTAATTTTATCAACTCCCACACACCCAAACATATATGCATCAACATAGGCTATAAGAGGGGTTGATGTGAAATCCCTCCTCTCTCCCCCCTCCCCTTAACACGAATGATAATGCCAACTCAACTTACATGACATGGCTTCCTGTGCAAAGTACTTGACGTCTATATCAGTATCTGTATTAAGCTTTTCCAACACCGGCTTTATTTGAGTTTGCAGACAACTGCAAAAAAATGAAAAAAAAGAAATATCATCATCATTATTTTTCATATTACAATGAATAACACATGAACGATGATGTGTGTTAACTACCATTTCTTCTATTAATTTTCTCTTTTTTTTTTTTTTTTTTGGTTTATCTTGCCTTTCCTGTTCATTTCGTCTTGCTTGGTTCTGGCACCATGAGCACACCTCGCAGATACTGTTGCCTTATAATTCTCCACTATTAATATTAGTCATCACTAGTCCATAAATTGTGTTTTAAAAATGTCATCTCGCATTCATAGCACTCTGTCAAACTTACCTGGCTTCTAGGAGAGGTGAAACTGTTGAAATTGTTTTTGCGACATTAAAACGTACATTTGCCACATTGTCATTGGCTAGACTAACGACGACTGGAATCAGGCTCTTAGAAGTGACCTGGCCGCCGCAGACGTTTGCTAATACATTGATACAGAATAAGCATGTCATGCGGTGTAAGTAATTAGAATCGCGGGCCATGCTAAGGATCTTGGGAATGACTTGTAATTGTGCCCAATCAGCTCCAAACTTCTCAACTAATTTTTTCAGGTTATTGGTCGCAGCTTCACGGATAGCATAGACTGCAAGAAAAACACAAAAACAAGTTAATCATCAAAAATGCATAATAATCAACAACAAAAAAAAAAGAAGCACTGAATGATTTTTGTATTATAATATAGATTAACTGAGATAACAACATCAGCATAATTTTTATTATTCATTATTATGAGCAAGGTTGAAGATGCATTGACAACAGATCCAAACCAAAATTCGGACCACATTTCCAAAGCGCTGAACCTATGTGTCCCTATTCTTACACACTGATTCGATTTTCAGATCCCTTTGGTAGGCTTTTCAATCCAAAAAAAATGGATTTGGTATAAATGAATCTTTATTCAGCATACAGAATCTGTATTATTAAACTCAAAATATCACCAGGACTTGCATCTAAAACAGAATTAAAAGAATCATATGCTCGTTTAACACTTACCATGATCGAGGAGCCATGTCATACAGAGAGCGTTAAGTTTCTCATCAAAGAACTCAACACCTAGTTGTCCTGCCAATAACGGCATGTACTCGATGATGGCCAGCCGCACCCTCCACTTACTGTCCTCTGCTAATTCCACTATAGCTGGTAGTAATGACTGTGACAGTTGCTGGATTCCGATCACTAGATGTGTATAAGAATAAAAGAATTAAATTAGGTTGGGTGGCATTTGGAAAGCACAAAAGATCCTCTGCATCTATTATGCAACTATTATTATCCCAAGGTACGTCACAGAAAAAATATAACCAGTGCGTTATACATGATACAACCTATGGTTTCAGAAACCCGGCATAAGAAATTAAAAAAAACCTCAAAGGGGCACAACTGAACAGGGACACTATGTGCAACAATCAGAAAGTCAAATTTGCATTAAGAAAGGGAGACAGACAGGAGATGTTACAGAATAGTGGACACTGAAACTAACACAGTGGGATGACTTACCTGAAATCCTATAAAAAAGATTGATAAAAGCGGTCAACAGAAAGAAAGCAGAATTTATAGCCGAGGTAATGTTCAACATTGGACTAAAGTATACAGTACACCACTTGCCTATACCATCATATTGTTTGGGTCAATTCATCTTAGCTGGACTCACCTCTGTGAACTTGTCGGCTACCATGTAACGCACCCTCCACGACTTGTCTCCGGCGCACTCCCTCAGGGTGGGCATAATAAGGTTCTCTTTATCTTCATCTGTTAATAATCCAGCGATGGCTACACATGCCTCAACTGCTAACAACCTTACTGAGTCCTAACAAATGTAAAAGACTGTAAATAATACTTGTAATTTTGTAGCAAGAAAGCATTCTACCAGTCTATGTGTTTTAAAAGATTACGAGCACAAATACGCTGGAGCAGTCACATAAAAATGTAGAGAAACCAAACAGTAATTTAGTTACACTAAAAAAATAATGGTATTACAAACATCAGCTGTCAATCATAGATGATTCAGATGTCAATCATTGTAACATACCTGCTCGTCACCAGCTAAATTCACAAACATAGGTATAAGGTCGCCCTTCACATGCTCTATCTCCGTGACCTTGACAAGCTCGCCTAATTTTCCAGCAGCTGCTCTTCGTACCATTGGGGTGTCATCGCTGCACAGATTACGGAAATGACTGTGTGGTGCAAAGAGACAATAATATTGTCAATAATAATATTAATAATATACAGTATTGTCAATAATTAGTAATTCACGCACACAGACTAAGAGCTGAGAAAGAGAATTAGTTATATGTTCTAGCAAAGCAAACATTACATTTAAAAAATAAACGTAAGCATACCTTCGTAGATCTTGTCTAATTGCAGGTGAACACTTTTGGTAACTGACGCTGAAGAGTCCACACGCCGATGTACGGGATGTGAACCAATCACCGGCAGCGAGACGCTTTACCAAGGCTACAAAGAGATTCTCCATGTCCGCCTTAGAATGTTCTTCTGATAGTTTGCGCAGAGACTCCACTGCTTTGTCTCTTACCACAGTCTCTTCAACTGTTGCAAGACTTTCCAATGGTGGCTACAAGACAAAAATAAAACAAATTACAAGTTATATATTTTGGACACAAAGTAATAACTTGTGTTCGGTTACTGCCAGCTTAATAAATTATAATAACAAAATTCCAGTCTCCCATTTTTATCACAGTATACATTTTTCTCTCTTGCACTGGGCAAGACATAGTGATGACATCTGCGATGATCAAAAAAATGTGGACTTACTAGTAGACAGGCCACATGCTCAGGTCCACCGACAAGCTGCGTAAATGTGCCAAGTTGCTCAGCCAACGCCAGCAAGACTTCGTCCTCATCGTAGATCGTGTCTGAAAATTGAAGATTTAACAAATAGTTTATTATAACTTTAAAACTATACTAGTTCAAATGACTATAAATAATGACAATTATTCGTGTTCCTTTTGTGCAGCAAATTATGATACACATTTTAACAATCACATGAAACAAAAGACACTTTTACATTCATTACCCATATGAGGCATGTCGTGGCGAAATGGTTAAGTTGTCGCACAGGCCAGTATTGTGTAAATGAGCTATAAAATACGGGAGCTCAAAAAATTGCTAAAAAATCCAAATTTGTTTTTCACTATAGATCAACAGTTTAATGTCTTATTATTCATGTCCCAAAGTATTAGTTCTAGAAGTGGTCAACAAATCATTTACATTAAAGTTTTTTTGATAGTTCTTTTTATTAAACAATGTATTTACAAATAACTTTGAAAGGCAATTACTCAAAATCATGTTTATCTTGACTCTAAGAGTACTGTTCACTTTAAATTAACTTAGGCTTGAAATGTCCAATTTCCATGAATGACTTCTCATTTTAAAAATCACATACTTAGGTATCTGAAAATACCAATAACATAATAATAATAATTTATTTCAATTTTTGCTACAACTTAGCCATTTTGCTACAACATGACTCATATTTTATTTAATGGTAATTCTTAATTGATAATCCTGTGTTATATCGTTTTTGGTTAACTGAAATTGCCTTAAGATAATATTCATTAAAGATGCTGTATGAACTTCAAATGATCTATCTTCCTTAAAATAAATTTCTTCATTCCATATTTGTATTTGTGTCATGCAAATTGCATGTTGAAATTAACAAGAATTCGGATAATGATGAATACCCTCTTTTCAAATGCTAAGAAAGAGCTAAGTATGGATTTGAGGTGGCAAAAAATGCAAATAAATTCCAGATAGAAATACAACAGTTCTCTAGTGACAACAAATAATGCATTGGATGAGTAGAAGCCATTGTTCACTGGCCAACACAATACTCAATGGTGATTCAAGTATTTACTATTCATTACTTAATTCATGAATGTTAATTAAGCTAAAGCCCTGTCCAGACCATCGCAGTTTATTTGAGAGAAATGTGATGTGCCAAATATGGTCATGATGACATCACATAATGACCATATATAGGCACATCATGACTATATATGGGCATACAAAAATATTTTTTATCAAAGAAAATTTGATAGTCTGGACAGCGCTTAACAGAATGCTATTATTATAAATAGGATTTTTTTTTTCATAATTATTGTCATGATATGATGAAACATTCAGGATGTTTAATTTTCAACAGGCATGAAATGGTGAATATAGAGTTAATAAAGAATCAATTTCAGGCCTAATAAACAAACTAGGAATGTTTGGACTAGATTTAACAGTGAATAATTAACTGAAAAATAAAAAACTCATACTGTAGTTCTTAGTTTAAAGTTTAATAAATGACAGCAATTAATTTATAACACAATCACCAAATTCAAACCCATCCATGACAACCAGAGCCAAGCACAGGTAGATAACACTGTTTATCATGACTCATCGCTAGCTGATAAATTAATGCATAATACAAAGCACACAACGTTCACTTGTAACTAGGCTGAACATATCATTTTATAAGAATATACCAGGTCAGATTTTTCTCCAACAAAATAACAATATTGTTTTTTACATTTTACAATGGAGTTTTTCTGTGTTAAGTTTTATTTTGTCAACTAATAATAATAATAATATTCTTATGTCCTAACTCAGACAAATGATTTCCATTGACAATTTAAAGGTTAAAAAAAAAAATAATTCCAAGAATTTTACATCCAAAGAGTGTTCTGAGCCAGCAAGGTAAAACAAAAATTCTTTTTGCTATTTAAATCTTATTAATGTGTGAATCAATCCATAATTATTAATCATAATTAACACCATTATATATATTAAGCGACACAATATGAGTATTAGACTTACCTGTAAGAAAGGGGATAAGCTCACTCCTTGTTCTCTCGACCCCAAGAGCTAGTGCTATGGTGGAAAGTTTCTTTATGCTGTTTAAACGAAGCTGCAAATAACAAGACATTAAAAATAAATGTATTTATTAATTGCAATTTTCCAATGATATTGCAGAATTATACAGCAATAGGAAAAATTGATATATATATATATATATATATATATATATATATATATATATATATTTACTAAAATAAATTTCAATTATTTGTACTACCATAAAAACAGAAACTATACAAAAGATGTATAATTCATAAAAATATATTAATTTTAGTTGTTAAAAAATATATATATCAAGAACATATTATTATCCTTTTCATCTATGATTTAATCATGTTTGTTAATTGTTATTAATTGCCTTACAAAATATCTGAATTATTTTAATTAAAAGTACCCAGTAATGGTTCAGACTGTTTATATATATATAATAATATGTTCTTGAGGCATGATCAAATATGATCAGATTATGTTATCAACATCAGCTACTGTACTGTATGCAATGAAGTGTATGATACTGTGGTGTTACTAACCATTTTGCACTTACAGTAAGTTACAATGTGACTGAAAACCTGACTTTATTCATCTCTTTTAAGCATGCTTTGTTCACCAAACAATACGATGCTACTTCAATTGCTAGATGTTGTGTAAATCCTTTTTGTAAAACTGACTGACATGTTTTTTTTTTGCCATTTGGGTGTGTAATTCTTTGGTTGGGCTGTTATCATTCACATTATTTGATCATGTAATTGCAGTTTAATACTGTACCCTCTGACCACTAGTTGTAGTATGACAGTAGGATTTTAGCCTAGTTACACAGAAGTTTATTTTAGATTGAAGCCAAATTCATGCTGTATGTCAAGTTATGGGAGCTGTAATAAATTTTAATATTAATACCGTATTAATTAGGCCAACAGTAGGCCATTAGTAGCCATCATAATGTAACAACCTAAAGACATTTCTATCCAAAGCTGTGAAAATAAAAATTTTTCTTGCTGGACCAAGGTCCAGATTTGCTAAAATAATTGCTAGCACTTATATATCAGCTATTTAACATTGGTCTAGTTTTAATGTTTTTTTTTCTAGCCCAGCCCTAAAATACTCAAGTCCCCGACCCAGGACCACCACCTTTTTACAGTCCTGCTATCTATGCAGGTTTGTTGTATTCTTGCATATTAACATTAAACACTAAAGAAAACTTTGCTCAAGGAAAATGTCAGTAATATTTAATGCACTATTTATAAGTTTAATGCATCATTTAAAGGGATGATTTACATTGTAGTTATTCCATTCAATAGGAAAGTTGTTTTTTTCAGTAGTTAAACTTATGTGAAAATTTTGTAACTTTGAAATTGCAAATGTGTAAATGTGCAAAATGTACTTGTGTAGTATGAAAATTTAACAGGAATTTCCTTAGACTGCACTTGCTGGGTGGTTTGACTCTGCATAATAAAGTTGTTCTTGTATTGTACATTTTTAGCATTGAAATTAATGCTAAAAAACAAAAAAAAAATAAAAAATAGCCACCCAGCAGGTTGAAGCAGAACTCAAGCTTCATTATTAGGCTAGAGAGGCCAATCAATAAAGAATTGTTCAAGCTATCTAGCCTACCTAGGCCTAGGTTAGTAGTATTTTTAGTTAGTAAGCCTAGGCCTAGCCTATTTTTACTCAGCATAATCTAGAGACAGCTAGCATCATCTGTCTTAAATTGCAACAGTAACTTTAAATAGCAAAATGTAATTGGGTATGATCAGTCCAGGGAGCTCCTCGCTCGGTGCTAGGCCTAAGACTATCCTAGTTTGACAATGCAATATGAATGATTGTTAATAATTAATTAACGATAGTTTATATGTGAAGAATAGAAAGAAACCCGGAAAGCCATTTGAATAAAACTATTTATAATAAACATTAGACAAATATCATAGAAATAAGTGAAAATGTTATCTGTGTGTTAGAAAATCAAATAGTGTTCTTAACACATTAATGACTGGGCCCTAGGCCCTCCACCCTCTATCTAGATGAGTTGTAAACATGCACGAAAAGAAGTTCAAAATGGCAAATTGATGGATGATCGAACCAACTCTTCCTGGTGAGATGTAAGTAGTTTCTGAATACCAGCAAAAAACTGGGTAATTCAACTAAGTTATTTATGAAAATACACTTGACAGATAATTAACCAAAATGATAAATACCTGAACATCTTCATTACGAAGTTCATCAATTAGAACAGCAATTGGATAGAGCGAATCTTCAGAACTTTCGCTTGTCGCCATTTTGAATACTAGACAGTCGGGTTTCTCACTGTGCTTTTGAAGTGATTTGGTGAGGGCGCTATTTATGACGTACTGTAATTACTTACAGATACCCAATACTGATAGTGTACTATTGCACACGGTACTAGGTACTCGGTGTACTTGTGATTCTGATGGAAATAGTGTGGTCTATTTTAATTTTTAAGTCAATTAATCTAATGTATATTATATAAATTCACATAGTGCTTTACAACCAAGCCTCTCAAAGCGCTCGAGGTTTGGACTATAGCTCGTACAGTATCGTATTCTACAATAACCGTTTATTTTGTATATCATCATCATCATCATCATCATCATCATCATCATCATCATCATCATCGTCATCATCTTATAATGTGCATAAACCTCGTATGAGTATATTCGCACAGCTAATAATTATAATTATACTAATAATACAAATTATTAATTATGATGACGATAATAATAATGATTTCAAATAAGAGTATACGTTTGGTATAAAATGGAAAAAAACATTTCATTTTTTTTTTTTCATTTCATTTCTTTAGGCACGAGCGCTAAGGATATGCCAATAAGTGAACTTAACCACTGTGTCCTACGTGGCATATCCATTTAACATCAGGGGACTTAATGGACCAGTACACAGGGGTAACCCTCTTCTCAAAGGATGTACTGGGTTCTTTAAAGTGCACACGAGCCAAATGCGTACACTGGACCTACGGTCCTTGAAAAACTTGGAAATAAAAAATTCAATTTTTTTTTTTCAAAAAAATTGTTTTTCAATTTTTTTTTCAGTACCATAAAAGGCATGCGCGCGAGGGTGATAAACTAATAATTTTTTTTTATTGGGCCAAATAATAGTTCAATCTTATATAGCGCATGTAAGGCCCATAAAAAAATTATTAGTTTATCACGCTATCAAAGAATAAAATCTGATGAGGGAGGGAGGGAGGTTTTTTGTTTTTTTTTGCTAACCCCGCCCCCATTTTACCGATAATCACAAGTAAATCAATGGTTAGAGACACATATATAAAAAGTCATAAGAATGGAATCAAGTTTATATTTAAAAAATATGTTTTTGTTGTACCAGTAAACATAATTCCAAGAAATCCTGAGCTTTTCAAGTGAAAATAGATGGAAAAAAGACCATTTGAAATGAAAATATATGTTGATTGGAAAAAAAAAAAAAAAATCAGATTTCCCCCAAAAGTGATGAGGGAGCGGGTGATAAACTAATATTTTTTTTTATGGGGCCTTAGATCTGAAGGTTACGGTGCCCCTGACTTACCGCTCGGCCAATTAACTCGCCGATTTTCGATAATTTTTTAACTTTTCATAATTACAATTTTTTTTACACTTTTGTTCAATGTACATTTGTTATTTGTATTTTGTGACATATGTTTTATTATTTTTTTTAATCAATTTTACTTGATTTGTATGTTGATTTTGACCGAATAAGGAAGAATGAATGGATGGATGGATGGATTAATAAATGAATGAATGAATGAAGGGTCCGTACCTTTCCAATAGGCTAGAGAGTTGGCGCGTTATATACCGTATGATTTAATATTAATTTGCCATTCGTGTGGTGTCTTAAATTGAAAAGCAGCAGATAGGCCTAAAATTGTAACTTTTCAAACATATTTTTTTTGTTTCCGACTTGAATAAATCCCTACGTCACACCTTCTCTGTAAACGCATCAATGATTTCAAAGACGAAAAGCCCCACACAAAAGCTATTCTATTGCAAACATCAACAATAACGAGTGCTATTATAATAACATTGGCACGTTGTTGCTAAGAAGGGGGTCACACTGAGTGCACAATCAATGTTGTCAGGTAACCAAGTGAGTGCCAATAGGGTCAGATTCCATCGAGTGTCAGGACAGTGCAGGCGATAGATCGGGCTAATAATATTTCCCTCATTTCGTGGAGATTTTAAAGACATGGCCTAACTTGGTACAAATTTTGTGTGTTGAGATTGAGTTTGGTAACCACGGACGTATTTAAACAACAGTAGTACATAGTTTTGAAGTCTGTTACGAGACATGCCTACTTTATAAACCTTTAATAAGGTAAAGCCCCAGCACGTCAAGGACTACTGCACAGGACCAAACGTATATTTTTAACTTCAGCAAAATGGGCGATTTAAGACCACCAAAAACATCCCAATCAAGACCACCAGCCTCATCCGATTCACTGACAAACCAGGAGATAGAATTGTTAAATGAAACATTTCCAAATTTCTTGTGTATCTGTGAACTTTGTAATTGCGGGTAAGTGTTTGTATTTGTTGTTTATGGGAGCATGATGTGACAATTGAAATAGCGTATTTAAGTCATTTTTGTTTTGTTCTGGTCACCAAATAAATAGTCCCTCATTCAATCACACAGGAGTGCTCGAAATCGAAATAAAAATGTTGTTATGTCTATTATGTCAACGTATACGTTTATACATTGTGCATTCGTACTCATCTTATCTATTGGTATACTATATATAGGGCCTATAATTATATATTTATACATTAAGTGAAATGATATACCGTACATTATATATATATATGTATATATAAAATTGTATATATGTATATATATATATGTATATATGTATGTATGTATATGTATGTATGTATATTTATGTATATATATGTATATATATATATATATATATATGAATAGCGTATCTAAATACTAATACTAATACTAATATATATACATGATTATTATATTGATGTAGTACACATGTGACGTGACTTGACTGTATTCGATAGTCGAGCTTCTTAGCAACGAACTTAAATGCGTTTTATAGATTGGTAATTGAAACATTTTCATTGACCTTCGTATCGCATTTCATAAAGACCTAATGCGTCGGTAAAATTAGTAACGAGATTGACTCGGACAAAATTGATTGTCTATACCCGTTTATCATTAGATCGCCTCGGTCATTAATGTACTTGATTTGGAATAGAAAATTAAAATGTATTTTGCTTGGAATTTAAAATTAGGCAATTGAAAATTATATTTTATATTTTTATTTTTTAAAGTATTATTGATTGTATATATTTTGTAATTGTCCTTTGAATCCGGATTGATATAATATAGGCCTATTTGTATTTTTGTTAAATTGTTTTTGTTTAGATTCAGTTTTAATGTATTATCGAAAATAGCGTCATTATCATCATCTTCCTCTTCTTCATCATAATTTTCATTAACCCCAGTATACTGTAATCATACACATCATTATCGTTATCGTGGTCATTATCATAACTATAGTCAGTAATTATCATCATTATCATTACTATCATCATCAAAGTCAAGGTTGTTCTCTTATACTCATTATGATAATCATCTTCGCCATCACTGTCAATCATAATATAGAGATTCCTAATTCATTATCACACCCTTCATCATAATCAATCATTAGTATCGTCATTATCAACATTGTCAATATCACTCCATTGTCATCATCATTATCATCATCATTACCCATAATCATCATCATCATCATCATCATCATCATCTTCAAACTCAAATAACAATTATAAACAGATTTGTCTTTAGGTATAATGTCTTAAGTTTATTGTGCTGCTCAATTCGTAATTTCAGGTTGGTAATTGTTTCAAATAAATCAATACCGTATTTGATATTAATTTTCAAGTTACATTTAAACAAAATATTAACGCCCTCACGCGGTGACTCCAACTTTGATGCCATGGTCTGGGCTTTCCCAGCAAATGCGAAATGCGCCGATTCTATGAAATTTGTACTAAATTGATAAAGTTTTGCATAATACCATAAGTTTACCAATTACCCTAGTGGTCAAGACTATAACATGAATTGGAGAAACACGAATGCGTCGATGGTGCTTACAAAAGGCGGATTCATCTCGCAAGCCACCCCGATTAAATTGTTGAAATTTATTAAAAACTTAAGTAGGGGAAGGAAAATTGTATTCAGGATAATACCATTTCCGGCCATCTAGCGATGTATGGACATAAAATGCCGTACCAACCCCACCAACCATTTTACGAGCTGAGGTAGTCTGCACACCATCTATAAAATTCCTGCCCCGGGCCCCCCTATTTCAAATTTCAGATACGCCAATGCTCCATGGAGCTTCTTCTCCAATATGATTATTTACACCTGCCTACTTTCCTTCTTACATAATGTGTTTGCTATCTATTTTCTAGCCGACATGTTCATCACAAGGACTGCAAAAAACGCGGCAAACCAAGCAAACCTGTCGATATGGACTGCACGCTCAGTGACTATCAAAGAACGTATGTACCTTATCCTGGGAACCAGCGAAGGTTACCCATCTTCCCCACTATACCACAACGAAATCCCCATCCAGCTCCGATGGACCTAAACACCATTCAACGGACGGATTTCATCCAGCGCGGCCAGGTGGTTAAACCAGAGAGAGTCACCCAGGTGGGTTGATACATACGTTTTCTTTTATCGCGTAATTGTTGTTGCGTCTATCACGCACAGTACGCGTTGCATTAAGCCAATCACAAGATGACGGATCCGTATTTTTACATTTTCATGACTGAACCAAATGCATAACGTCAGCAACGAGACCACCTGTTTGAATAATGGTTTGTTAGTACCAGTGTCACTTTGAGTTCAAAGAATAAAATGTTATCACATTTTTTTTCCAGAAACATACTTACAAACCGACAGATGCACCATTGGACGGAAACACAGTGTATAAAGAAACTTACCCAGGTCATGTGTCGTTTCCGAACATTCAAATGCGTCGGCCTAGGACGCAGCAAGGCCGAGGGATTTTTTCGGCAAAGTTCGATTCCCGAACCACGAACAAAGAACAGTTCAAACACTGGAACAGTCACCCAGAGCCCGCATTCAGTGAATACCCATGTTTCACAGGTAAGTCACTGAATCGTCATAAACACTGTTGGGTCACACCACAGTGTCACCTAATATGTATGTAAAAAGAAAAATAATTTTGCCTGAATCATAAGTGATATGCTCAGTATATTCCTCTAAGATAGGGCTACGCCTATGAAAGGGCATATTCGGTACTTAGCTTACAGTAACTACTTGTTCTGCCAATTCTCGAGATACTCATGGGTATTTGGCATTAAAAACATGGAAGCAGGATTGTTTTGAAATTTACAATGGAAAGTGTACGACCCTGAAATGAAGTTAATATAGAACGTATGTCTATGGCAATTATGCTTTTCGATACAATATTATTCCCCGAATCCTATCGGAAATCACCTTGTTATTATTATACAAAGACCAGAACAATGGACAACTGTAATAAATTTGTGTACAGTAGGCCTAACTGTTTTGCAAACACACACGTCGAATTTATGACATGAAACTGTTTACTATAGGTGTTTTTATTACGATGAAATGTTTTGTAATCATGCTTTTTAATAATTGTTTCTGAATGTTTCCAACAACATGTGTCTGCATGTTAATCAGTCTGAAACGATATTGAAAGATAATATTCAGCAAATTGCTAATGGTTGTTTTCACGGCAATTGCACACTGTCGCCTAATAATCCATGTAAAATTTGGACTGCTAAAATCCATTTTAAATACCGGTACCTGTTTTTCATTTATACAGTGGTTTTGTTTTGAAGATGTTTGTTTTCAAGTATACAGGATTTTTATTACGATGAAAATGTTTTAAAATAGGCTTTTTAACTTTTCCAAGTGCGATCAACAGAAGGTTCTGAAATTTTATAAGTTGTTGACCAAACATGTAGCTGCATGTTGATTAGTTTGAAACGATCTATATTCATGGAGAGAGCGGCAGGTTGATAATGTTAATTTTCACAAAGCTTTTTAGTTGTGACACACCGTCACTCCATCCTTGTTGGTAACCTTTTAGTAGATGAAAATTTGAGCTGTACATAAATGATCCACGTAATTGGCGAAAGATTGATCAACCCCGGCCTGTGATTAGTCACTATTTTATACTTCCCTTCCATCACATGTTTAATGATAGTGACTGTTTCGTAGTCAATTTAAAGACTTAAATCAAAATAGAAACGGTTTCCAATAGGAAGATTCATTCGTGGCTTCGTGGTGGAAGTCATAAAAAAAATACCAGTTATGGTCATCATCAGTGTAACAGCATATTACCGTACCTCTATACAAATGCACACCCTTCACTATGTCCCTGAGTGAGTTTGTAAATCGAGAAAAAAGATAAAATAAAGCTATCGATGCAAGATACAAATACATATACTATAAGCCTTTTCATAAATGAATTTCAATGAAACACGATGCCAGATTAGTACCGTTAAGTTCAAAATTTGATAGTTCTAAAGAAAGTTTATCAAACATTGGAAATTCTGTATTAATTGAATCGTTAATTGGATGAATGTGTGTACTGTGTCTAACTTATGTTTTTCCTCGTTAATTAATTACAGGCTCCATTATTTACCCTGGGACAAAAATGGAACATATGGAATCAACAACCCAGCACGACTTTCCAGGCGCTGTTGCTGAACCAGTGAAAATGGTTAAAATCACCGATGGAAACTTATCGTTAGAGGGTAAGAATAGCTAGGCCTTACAGGCATGTTTTGGTGGATGGGGTGCTTAATTCGTTCGATTCGGATCGGAAAGCTTACCGAAACCGAAAAGAAAATCGAATCAGTGATAAGAATAGGGACGCTGGTTTTCAGCCAGTCCGATTTTGATTTGTATCCGATGTGAATGCAGCTTCAGACATATTCGGTGGCTTGGACGGAGCCAAACACTTAAGCCTGCCATCTGTGTTTTTCGTTTTGTGTATACATTCTAATTCAAAATTTTAACTTGGTAACACAATGGCACGGTAGCCGATTGCATCGCTGAACTTTCTTCATTAACTTGCAGGAAAACATGATCATTTGACTGTCCATAAAGCTACATACACCAACAACGGACTTGGCCACCGAGCGGAGCGTATAAAACACGAGCCGACTATAAAAAGCCGCGGAAAGTTCCACGGCAAGACACAACATATGCGCGACTTCCCAACGTACAAGAGTCAGCCTCTGCCGGTAAAACCAATCACGCCCCCACCGGCAACAATACGTCTTAGTATGGATTCAAGGTAAACTTTTATGGCTTAATCACAGTTAATACTATTAATTTCTATATCATGCTAAACTGTGATGTTATTGATAACTTTTTAAAAATGTGTGCACTGACTATTTGGTCTATTTGTTTTTAACAGGTTGGAGTTTAAGACAGAACAGCAAATGGAATTTGGAGGATACGACGTAAAACAAAATCCGAAGCGAGGATTGATCCGTCACGATATAGATGAATACAAACCACCAGAAGTTAGCTTCGAAACAGATACCGTCAACAAGGTATTGTAAATGCAATAATATAATCAAATTATTACAAAAACGTTTAATAGACACGTGTTTTCATGTATTTGGGAGAGGGACGGAACTGTATAACGGTTTGTCGTTGTCTGGCTCAATGATTCAAGTCCCTATTTATTATTTTTCAATTTCTTTTACATTTTTCTGTTCGTAGTTGACATATCGACCGATCGAAGTAAGAGACGCACCAACTCATCGCCGACCGCACACCAATCACAAACCGCGCTCAGCAAAGTTTAATGACCAAACGATAAACAAAAAATTCTACAAAGATTGGAAGGTCAAGCCCAGGATACGATATGGTGACTTTCATGAGGCCCACTCCTACGTCAAGCCGCAAGGTAGCATGGAGATTGAGTCTTGGACAGGCGCAACATACACAACTAAGAAGCCTGATCCGGACCCTGTACGAAATTTCAAGCCAGAGCAGACTGCAATCGAGCATACGGGAAAGTTCGATTTTACTACAGTACATCAAGCCACTTATAAAGGTACGCGGCCTAAGATGTGTAAAGCGCAGGCGTACCTTCTTCAGCAAGAACTAAAGAGGAGGAAGCCCCAAAAGGTGAAGCAGAGGGAACAGACACTAGGGAATTTTGTCGACAAAAAGAAGGAAATGTTGGCAGCGACTTAGTGGCCTAATTTTCTAAAACTGGTGTCACATCCTGATAATTCCTGTCACGAATCGAACTTTCACCCAGTGTACGTCCCTGGTTAGATCGCCGACTGGTTCTGCATTGTTATAGAGACTTGGGAATGTCAACCTGGTTCCAATTTATTAAAAATATGGGATGCAATCAACGGAACTGATATAACCTTTAATAGTACTTTTTCCTCTGAGAACAAACGATCTGTATTCAATACGGGCCCACGTTTTCGCAAATTCATTCATAATATTTATTTTTAGATTTACGACCATCGATTTAGGCTTATATAATAATTTACACACACTTCAATTCACTGTAACAGACGCAATGGGGACCGTATGGTTACCCCCGTTCCTTAAAAAAATAACATAAGGTGCCACAAAAAATATCTAATATATCTATTCGTACTTAATGTCCCAAGATGTCACAAGTACCACACAATTTGTGGTTTCTGGCGTCGTTGTAACTTCAATATTATAGAAAATAAAACTCAGGATATTCAGTACTTTTATGACTAGTTTATTTATGACAGTACACAAGCTTTCGTGCACACAGTGCACTTCTTCAGGTGAATGTGAAGTTAACATAAACTTGGTGTATAGACCTAAGCAAGTTCAATATTATAGTTATTCCTTTCCTTTCTTTGAAGTCAGTATACTGAGTCATATTTCGAGGGTTGTTCGTTGCATTTTTATAAATGCAATGTTGCATCTATATTAAACTAGTATGAATGCCTGCCTACAATCTTAACATTGTAAAGCAAAAATGAATATATTAAATAGTCCAGTGGCATATTGATATAGTACGTTAAACCTTACAATTAATGGGTGCGTTTATAAAGGCCTAACACTTATATGAGTATAATAGTGGGGCCCTATAGAAACCCAGGCCTGATATACTGATTCGTTGAGTAAACTAAAAATAATTAGTAAAGTTTAACCAATAACGGGATGTAGAGCTGAGGATTTTTACATTCATATACATATTCACAGCATGCATACAAGATGGGGGGTGAGCTAACCGAATTTATAATGTAAACTGTACGGTTTTCATGCAAAATGGTAACAATTTCAGCATTAACAATTGGCAATATAGGCCTAAGGAAAATGATAAGCAATCAATGAAATCAAACATACTGTATAACGAAGATATTACATTCTACACATAATTTATACTAAATTTTATGCCGCACAAGTATGTTATAACGAAATTGCACAATACTGTATAGCATTATTATTAGGCCTATTATTTATTTATTTATTTATTATTATTATTATTATTATATTCAATATACAATTACTAGTGCTGTTCAAGAATTGAAAAAGCAAATATCAAAGTCCAAGCACATTATTGTCTCATTAATATTTTAAAGAAATTAAATGATACATGACGTCATTCCATACTGCTGTTCTATTCGATAAATATATGGTTTAAGGCTGTCAGCATTATCTGAGAATTTGTCATATTGAAGATGGTGCTTTGTTGTTTACATTGTGTCTAATTGTGGTCGGTATCAAAATGTTATTATTCAGATGTTTGTTAATATAAAATTAATAAATAAAATGTAAACATCTTTGAAGTGTTCCATATATGCAATACCGATTCTATAATAAAACGTTTATGTTTCATAGTCATCGAATGTATTATTCTTAGTATCATTATTCAATAAATATAATATATCGTCGCTCACATCACGAACTAACACAATCAAAGTAGATTGTGTTAGTTCGTGAAATCACAGTAGCGCGTCAAAACGAGCGCGTATTGGTTGTCAAGCAATTTTGTATTCTTTACCACACAAAAAGACCTTAACAACAACAGCGCATATTTTGACGCGCTTTCTTACCTAAAATAAAAAATATACTTGCAGCGAAAGCTGAAGTACTGTACATTTTACAAGTGTAATATTCATGTTAATGAAGATTCCTGATTGGTCAGACACCTCCAACGAGATAAGATCCACATCAGCTAAAATGTGATTCATTCCGACAAATCTGTGGGCACTTCATTACTTATACATTTAGAGAACCAAGAGTAACATTGTATAAGATTAACCCAATAATTTCTGATAAATCAGAACATGGCAAATATCTCACTAACGCACGTGCTTTACGCTATCTTTTTTGGAAACTTAGAAACAATATTCATTCATCGTTCATTCATTCAGTCATTCATTCATTCATTCATTCATTCATTCATTCATTCATTCATTCATTCATTCATTCATTCATTCATTCATTCATTCATTCATCTATTCATTCATTCATTCATTCAATCAATCATTCATTCTACTGTCCAATTATACTGGGTACCTCGTGTGTGGATGTGATCAGCGCAGGGTACTCAAGATCATGTGACAAATGTCAATTGATTCATTAAACATATTTAGGCAGGACAATATTCAGACCAAAAGGAAAGGTAACGCTGTTTTACAATATGGTCCTGCATACATAAAATACAATAAAAAAAAACATACAAAAAGGCTACCTAAAACAATTATATTATAAGGTATACAATAATATTAAAAACAAGAAAAAAGAAGATTAGATTAGCGATAATATTATTTGAAATAGGCCTAAATTTAATGAATTAATAAAATAAAAAATTATAAAAATAAATACACAAACTAGTACTTTAAACAAATAAGAACACACACATATTACCAGTTGGTTGGGGAAAAAAGCGCAACACTCAAACACAAATTGGCAATTGAGAATTTTATCCTGTGAGAACATAATTTAATTATAAGTACTGATAGTATGCCTAATCCATGCGTGGGTTGGTTCGACGTGGAGAATTGTTAAAACCATATACATGGTAATATAGATAATGATATAACACAGTATGTTAAACTTCAATAATATTTTATAAGCTTTATAAAAATATTCATAATTGCAACAAGATTTAATTGTCAAGCCCAATTAAAACATTGTACTTGATTGCAAGGTCCTTATGCAAAACCTGGCAAGAATATGACTATATACACAGGATTTAGACCAATTTGAAAGTCAACGTTATAAAACTATGATCACAATGTGATGTCATGATTGACAGGACATTATCATGGACAGAGGAGACTCAAATTAGCTCATGGAATTCATTTTCCATTCGATTCAAACCTACATTTTACAAGATAAAAAAACACCAAAAAGTCATAGGTTACAATTCTAAAATTATAGAAAATACTGGCTCATCACTACCTACATGGTTGACTTATTAATTATTACTCCTTTACTTATTACTCCTTCAACCTTTGTTCCAACTGACTGCATACTGCAGACGATATCCTGAAGGCAAATACATATTTTGAGAACATTATTTCTCATGACGTACTGTTTGGCCAAAAGCTGCAACAATTCGATACCATCACCTGTTATACGGCAATTAACAGACACAAATATATTATAATGACCCTTAAATTAGTTGGTAATCCATTTCAAGTTGATTTATGTCAATCTGTGTTTTCATTGGAAGTTGTTAACTTATTTATAATTTTAAATTAGCAATTTGTTTAGATATAGATTTCAACACGGACTGTGCTTTAACGTCACTAGTAAAGTGACACTACACTGACGTCATTTTATAGTCTTTATTTTTTTCTGTTCGCACAGTTTAAGAGAATGAGATGCTTATGTGGTTATGTTATGATATAACATACCTTTATCCCAGTTTAGAATAAAAAAAACAGGGAAGTACGGTAGGGATCAGGTGTGGTATGCCTCTATTAACCTATGTAAACCAGGGGTGGATCAAGGATTTCTCAAACACGGGACAACATTAGAATAGCTAAGTGAGTAGCGTTTATCTCAATATATAAAATCGATATGCATTGAAATTTTAAAATTTAGTGGCAAAACGGGTGGAGTGGAGGGGAGGGGAGGGGGGGGGTATCCGCACCTGTAAACGTGATTGTCAAAAGTACAGTATTGTACTACGAGAGTGTTTCTTGAATGAGAAGAGTTGGTCACGTGAACAAATAGGCTATGTTAAAGGTGAAGGGTCGTAGATAGTTCACGGAAGTTCACGAATTCGTTCAAACTGGGAAGATTTTCTTTCATTGTGTGTGAATAATCATAAGATAAGCAAATTTGGTTGTAATTATTTATGACTCAAACAACGCATCAACGGAAATACAATATAAAACGAATTTCTATCCATCAAAACGCTGGTATGAGAGTAGCAAAGTAAGTCACGATATGTCTCCTCAGCGCTACAATAAATGTAACTACAATAAATGTAACTACAATACATCATGATTTTCGTTTTTGATAGTTCTAGAGTTGCAAGGGGGTATAAAATATACTCCTTGAGACTTGTAATGAGTTGAGGTTGTGATCACCGACAGTGAAGGGATATAAGCTGCACCAACAGTCTACTGTCTGACAAATAGCGGTCAAAACCAGGGGAAGACTTAGGATATGCCCCTGAAACAAAGCAACTGGACACGGCAGCTGTTGCACATACAAACGACTTCCGCTGGGTTATATAAAGACAATGATCTGTAATTCTTGGTATAATACGTATATCATGGTAAGCATTAACCGACTTACATGAACTTCGTAACAACAAAACTCCAATGCTCTACCAACTTATTCTCACGATCACAATATACAATCATTATAGGCTGGAAGTTTAGGACAGTACTGAAGTTTATTTGATGTTGCCAACTGGCGGCGCTGTTTATTATCGGAGTCTTAGCAAAAAGAAAACAGTTGAGTTAGTGTTGCTTATTGATTAAACTACGTTAAACTCCCGGCTAACACCCTGTCTCGTTTAACACGTCGCTGTTAAATCTGGATTTATATAATAGCGCCATATCCGTTCTTGTAGATTTTACTGTACAGGATTTATTTCGTACGCCGGTACCTACCGTATGTTTCCACAAGATGGATATGGTACTGAGCCTTCTGATATTTTCATCTGTGATCCTTAGCAGTTCAGGTGATACTTCTACTGGCGACGAAGCTTTACCGGGTGAGTTAATCGGCTCTTCATATCCTTAATGGAGAATTAGAAATATTGATTTTTCAATATCATCTCTAGTCTAAGCTACATTTTATTTGTTTCGTCATTAGTAGTAGAGGCCCAAAATTTCAGAGAAAACCTAGAGTTTAAGAGTTCCTGTACCTGGTGCGGTAGCACATGGCGCTGGTGTGCTCTTCAATAAATACCGTACTGGATAATGTCCGCGACAGCATACTTTTATTATTTTTTTTAAAATTTATTACATCATATTTGATATAGGCCTAATAATAGGACTACTAATTGATTTAATTAAACTGTAGTATATAATTCTTATCATACCCAGATGATATCATCCCGACTCCTACAATCAATACATGCATTTGATTTTTTTGAAAATAGGTCTAGGTAGTTATATCGGTCGTCAGAATTTGTATTTTTAAATTTTGGGAGAAAAAAATATATACAAATTCAATTTAGCTGTTACCTTTACATTGATGTAGATGTCTTAGTGTGATAATCGTCTCGTTAGCATATGGGTCGGTGTCGTCGAGACTTTTCTCCTATCCCGGTAAATTACTAATAAACCACAAAGAATAATAAATAAATAAATAAATAAACAAAATGAAGAGGGCAAAATCCCTGTGACACCAGCGCGTGCACCCAGCGTCTGAGCCGTATTTGATTTCTCTGGAGTGAAGCTATCAGATTTGTAATGTCAAATTGTTGACTTGAGCAATAAAGAATATTTACAGTAAAGCAAGACAGACGCTTTCAAAGCGTTAGTAGACGTGTACACGTATTACTTTCGATTCCACGGAGGTATAACCTGCCGGTCATATTTTTAATAGACCTACCTTTGCGGTCGTATGATTAATAATATTCAGCCGAGAACATTGAAAAACCGTCAAACTTACTAACGTAGCTATTCCATCGAGATGAATTTTGACACATTTCTCAGCCTAGCTCATGAGACTTTCAAAAAAGCCTGAATCCAGAGAAACTTGGGAAACTTGAACTTGCATTTATGTTTATGGAACTTGTGGAATTTGAGTTTAAGTCGAAAGTGAAAAGTGATAATATAACATATACAGAAGTGTGCTAGGATTTAATTTCAGATTTGTACTTTTTTAGATATTTAATATGAAACACGAGGTAGTGGTGTGCACACATGTTTTACACTGGGTGTGTGACGTGGTTACCGTTGCACTCTGCTGGAGCTAATTTTTTACTCGATTGACCAAATCTTTAAGATACTACCTATCTACATTTTCCTGTTGGATAATAGCCTTGATCCATATACCTCACTTCCTATCAAACTTTGTACAAACGATACCGGTATCAGGAACATGTAGGCTCATCTCTGCCACATTCCTATCCTTAAAGCCAGGCTCCGGAGGTATCAGGAACATGTAGGCTCATCTCTGCCACATTCCTATCCTTAAAGCCAGGCTCCGGAGAAAAAAAAATGATGTTTTACAACTGATTTTTCTAAATGGTTAATGAGATACAGATTTTTGAATATTTAAAAACTGAGGGAAAAGGTGGAAAAAAGGATGATTACACCCCCTTTTTCCAGTTTTTTTTAATAGGCCTATTAATATGTTTTTTAATATTATCGAATCATAATCATAATTATCATCCTAATAATTATATTCGTTCATTCTAATATTTATTTATTTATTTATATATTTATTTATTTATTTATTAACATCTTTCACCAGGATGACACAATCATTTTAAGATTTTTTTTTCATTGTGGTCGTGGAAAAAAAGGAAATGCAGTATTTCCCCCCACCCCCTCTTATCCTTCCCTTATAAGCAATAGGCCTATATTACAAGCAAGACGGTATTATTATTACTATTACAGGTATTATTATTATATTTTAATATTATGAATATCATCAGCATCATCACTATTATGGTTATCATAATCACCATCATAATATACTCGTTCATTTCAATATTATAAGCAAATGGAGGGTTATTTCGACAAAACTATAAACACTTTGAGGATACAAGTCGCATACGGCGAGGGTGACGACTACTGGAGGAAACAAATCACACACAACTGATGTGTGAACTGCTATGCACGGAAAGGCCTCCACCTGTCACAATGTTGTAGGTCGATATAGGTTAATGTCAGATTACATTCCCATGTTGCACTTTGATTAAAAATAAGGCTTATAATCGGAAGTAGTACACTAGTGTAAAATCAAAACGCAAACACGCAAACAAGAATCAGCTAAACTGCTAATTGAATTCATTTTTTCTCTAGATGCAAAGAAAGTAACACAATTAGACGCAGGCCTATGTAATAGGCCTACTGAAGCTAGAAGTGCCAATTCCTTACCCTATTTTACAGTATCCCGAATCCTCCATTTTGTAATTGGCTGTGACTTGTAATTTCAAATCATTATTAAAATCATTATTTGTTTTGAAAAATTGATGAAGAGAATTTAGTTTGTACGTTAGACAGAACAAACTTCTTTTCTTTTTATTAGCCTTTCATTTTGGTCCCAAGTTAAAAAAAAAAAAAAAAGGCTTCTGGAAATTCTCTAATACAGTTTGACAAACTTACTGTCCTACTGAAAACCAAGCACCCGTAGCTCAAAATGTTAAGTCTGAGTTGTGTGTACCATCTGTTACCTCTGGATCGTAGAGGGAATGTGTCAATACCAAATTCAATTTATGCTGATACAGGTCTTAAAGCGGCCTGCAGTTCTCACAAATTGACTTCAAAATTAATTTCGAGTCCGCATCCGCCCTTTCCTTAAAAAGAAATGTGAGCTTATTCGCGTTACCACATACACGTGTATGCGCTTCTCGTGCTGATCGCTAAAAGCCTCATTTCGCACCGAATCCGAATTTTCGGATCGGAAGGCCTACCGAACGGATCAGAAAATCGAATCAGTGTGTAAGAATAGGGGGACGCTGGCGTTCAGCGCATTGGAAACGCGGTCAAAATGTCGGTTCGGATCTGCCGTGTGAATGCAGAGATTGCAGGTATCTTATAGACTTGTAATGATCCAATGTACAACTTGTGGAATATTTTTTGTAAAAAGAACCGGTGCTTGAAAGAGAAAATAAATGGTTGTGTGTATGCAGCTCTGTAGAACAGTCTCTTTACTGACGTCAACATTTTATAAGAATGGACTTACAAAACAACGCCATTCCCTGAACAACCAGCCTTGGGGCAAATACAAACAAATTGTCCAGTGGTCAAAGTTCTACTCCTTTCAACGTTAAGCCTAGACAACTACTATCAGAACAACGCAAAACGGGATTGAATTAAGGCCTACTCACACTTGCGGATCGAGTTTAAGACCTGAAAAGAACACCTGATTACCTAGGCATACAGACGGCATCATCATCTGTCAACATTACGAACCATTTCCGCGGTTGAGTAGCAGATGACCAGAGCATGGAGTAAAGTTACATTCACATCGGACCCGAAACGAAATTCGGACTTGTTTTCAAAGTGCTGAACGCCAACGTCTCTATTCTTACACAGTGATTCGAATTTTTTATCGCTTCGGTAGTAAGCTTTCCGATACAAAAATTCGGATTCGGTTTGAATTCACCTTTAACCACCTGTTTAATAAGCCCGGACCACTTCCGTCGCCACCTGCTTCTGGTGACACTGGTGGAATGGACGATGGATTCAAACATAAGCATATTCAACTTTCTACGTTAAAATAGTTCAAATCTATACCATGTCCACCTATCGTACTATTGTAACTCAAATTCTGATAGTTCCGTGGATTGACACAATTCATGGTCACGCAGACACCCGTGGTTCACGGTTAATTTACAATTTCGAAAATGCTTCGGGCCATGAACGGAAATTACTAACGTCAACCTAGTAAATATAAATTGAGACACGAACTAACAAAAATCCACTTTGTTTCAAATATTAATCGTGATGAATTGTAAAATGTTTTAATTTAGATCCGTGGTTATGTTAATCAGTTTATTAGGGGAGAAATTCGGACCGGACTCGCCTCAAATAATGTTTACACTTTTACGTCGATGGTCTGGAAAGTCGCAGACAGACAGTTCTGGGGTTTAAAGGAGGTGATCGTAAACTCAATTGTTGTTTATTGTGGAAGTCCCGGTGACTAAGCAATCCTTGTGACATCATGGATTCTGGTTTTTTGGGAATAACATTGACACTTTGTCGCCTTCCCACAACCACAAATCCACAAGGATCCGTTCCACAACAAATGAATGCTATTTGGCTCTGTTCCAGACGTTTATCAACATTTGTATTTTTTTTTTATTAAACAATGTGTAACATACTGTATTTCAATGAACCTTCCAGCGAAACCTCAGAGGTCAGCTGATATTCAGGGACCCACGTAAACTACAGTACCGGTATTGAATAACGCGATGCTCATACATGACGATAAAATGAAAATTTATTTTGTCATAAAAATATGCTAGTGGTAATATCCACTAGTTGTTTGGCTGAACCAAAGATAAGTCTGTGATGCTAGGACGACTATTTTGTACGAATAATTCCCAACTTGATCTGTCAGGAAAAAAAATTAAACGATTTTCGGCATTTTAAACTTGAATCCTAATATTTCTATATCATGTAGTATGATTAATGTGTTGCATCTAAACATCGTGGGTCATCATGTGATATTTAGGCCTAGATGATTAATGCGATAATAGTTTTGAATAATTTCATAGTTACCAACCGTTTACATTGTGCGGGATGGTTCCGCATTTCAAAGTGATTTTGGTGGAAACACGCATTTTGCAGAAACGCATGCGTGATCATAAATTGTCACGAATTTTGCACAGGTTTATGCGTGATAACGAATTAGGCCTATTACAAATTTAGGGGAAAATCTATTTAAAATTAGAAGAAATTTGTTTTATTAAAAATGTAAAAACGGTCATGCAGTAACTTGAGTCATTAGACAGTATTTACGTGATTATACTTATAATTCACTGACGCGTTAAAAATTAATCAGTATGCCTTTTCATTTTTTGCTTAAGTA